CGCCTTCAAGATGACTGACCTCCATAGGGGTTTGTTCCCCTAGCAACTAGGAACATCTGCCCTACCTTATGGTTTTTTTTTTATTCTCGTGAGGTTACGTAAACGTTTTAGAAGGCTCTATTCCATTAGCTGAATCATCCACCTACAATTATCTTGGTGATCAAACAGTAAAGCCTTTAGATAATCCAAGGCAACTTTTGGCTTACCAAACCTTCTAGAAAGGTACACATATATGACTTTTAACAAAAGCTTCTTTGTCAGAAGCTGTTGTTCACTGATTTTTTTATTGTTTTATTATTCATATGTGCATACAATGCATGGGTCATTTCTCCCCCCTGCCCCCACCCCCTCCCTCTCCCCCCACCCCCTCAATACCCAGCAGAAACTATTTTGCCCTTATTTCTAAATTGTTGAAGAGAGAGTATAAGCAATAATACGAAGGAAAAAGGGTTTTTGCCGGTTGAGATAAGGATAGCTATACAGGGAGTTGACTCACATTAATTTCCTGTGCGTGTGTGTTACCTTCTAGGTTAATTCTTTTTGATCTAACCTTTTCTCTAGTTCCTGGTCCCCTTCTCCTATTGGCCTCAGTTGCTTTTAAGGTATCTGCTTTAGTTTCTCTGCGTTGAGGGCAACAAATGCTAACTCTTTAGGTGTCTTACCTATCCTCATATCTCCCTTTCATGCTCTCGCTTTTATCTTGTGATCAAAGTTCAATCCCCTTGTTGTGTTTGCCCTTGATCTAATGTCCACATATGAGGGAGAACATACAATTTTTGGTCTTTTGGGCCAGGCTAACTTTACTCAGAATGATGTTCTCTAATTTATCCATTTACCAGCGAATGATAACATTTCATTCTTCATGGCTGCATAAAATTCCATTGTGTATAGATACCACATTTTCTTGATCCATTCGTCAGTAGTGGGGCATCTTGGCTGTTTCCATAACTTGGCTATTGTGAATAGTGCTGCAATAAACATGAGTGTGTAGGTGCCTCTGGAGTAATTTCTTATTTATGATGCTCCTAACACATGCAGGATGCCGTACATCTATACTTCTCCTGATTACTACCCTTCAGTTAAAAGCATTGTGATTGGCGGCCTCTAGGATGCCTTCCTTTGGGCTCTGTCTCCTGGTCACTGTCATGCACTCTTCCTCCTAGGAGTTTGGTCTGGATGTAATGACTCACCTCTAATGACTAGGTTTAGGAGAAGTGAACAGGGACACTTCTAAAATTATATTAAAAAAACTGGCTTTCTATCTGCTCCTTCCCTTTCTTTTTCTTCCTTTTTTCTCCCTTCCTTCCTTCCTTCCTCCCTTTCCCTTTCCTTTTCTCTTTTCTTTGTATTGGAACATAGGATAAAATTATATATGTAAGAGATTTCTTTAAGCCATACTATCTTTCCTCCAAACTCTGAGTTCAAACCTAAAGACAGAGTTATATGAGAAATTCGTTTACTCTTTGAACTGTGCCACTAATGTTACTCTCTCAGCTTTTTTATGTTCTAAGAAGAGGAAATTACTATTTTATTGTTGCCTTTAGTTGTGGCTGCCTCTGTTCTTCTCTGTGGTTCAAGGACCTACAGTGCTATCCTCTTCTTGTATGTACTGGACAAGAAATGGTTCCGGATACATGGCAACAATTTTGCATGGTGCCATCCTGTATTTCAAGTCAGCACTACTGTTTGGGGTCAGCACACTCAAGAAGCTTACAGTAGAGTACCTTATACAAATAGCTGGCAAGTCTCTTTGCTTGAAATCATGCCACCTGTTTATTGAGAAGGGTTGGTGTGTTATTAAGGTGATGAACCCATTGCAATACAGGCAACTTTGGCCTGATTCTCAGTTTGTAAAACAAACCAGTAAGATTGACCTCAAAGTTCTTCTTTATTTCCACTTGACTGTGTCTCTGAGTTTTCAGGGAACTACAAGCATTTTGCATGAAGTATTTTTTGAGTTTCACTTTTATAAATGAGCAGCTATTTGTCAGACTCCACACACAAACAAAAATACCATTGGGAAAAAGTGTCTAATAAAAATTCCATTTGTTCCTTTCTTTTTATATTTTCCTATATTGTACTCTCTTTCTTCTATCTTCCCTTCCTTTCTTTCCCTTCCTTCTTCCTTCCTGCTTACTTTCTTTCTTCTTAGACATACTGGAACTTGAACTCATGGCCTTCACTTGAATCATCACCCATCCTCCTCTCTTTCCTTTTGCTTTAGGTTTTGTAGACATCCACTTTGGCAACCTTGTCATTCTGTCATTCTGCTTGGAATTCCATTTATACTCTTGCGATTAGGGAGAACATATCTCACTTTATTTGCTGAGGGTGACAGTCATAGGCTTTAATAGTGAGCAAGTTGAACCAAGGATGCAAAATTCAAGCTTACTTCTGTACATCAGTCATGAGAGTGAACAATTTTGTCTTATTTTTACTAGTACAGTATGCTGCTCTCCAATTGCAAAAAATTGTTGAATCATTTGGGTAACATAGTAAAAGGTTGAAATAAAAGTTCTTTATGGAAGAATGTGATGGGACAATATAAACCAGAAAAGAGAAACTGGAGGGGAGTTTGCTCCTGGTCTTCTAATGTCTTCCACCACTCAACATTTAGGAAAGATTTTTATCACAATGATTAAGCAGTTTAACATCTAATGCTTAATGAGAATTTCTCTTTCTCTGGACCCTTCAATAATGTATTTTTCACAGTTTGTTAAAAAGAGAGACTGTTCATGTTTACAGACTGAAGTAAACTAGGAGGCATAACAGTGGAATCATCCAGAGCACACTGTTCTGGACCAGAAAACAATTGCTTTATAAGACCTTTGAGGACAACTACATATTAGATAGTAATGTCTTCTGACTTATATACAGGGTACTGTGATTATATAAGGGATTGGAAAAGTTTTCTTTTTAGTGGTACTGGAGTTTGAACTCAGAGCCTCATACTTGCTAAGCAGGTACTCTACTACTTGAGCCATTCCGCCAGTCATGGAAAAATATTCTTGTTTTGAACAAATTCATGCTAGAATATTTAGAGGTCAAAAGGCATGTCTACAACTTCTTTGTGAATGGATCATAAAATACACACATATAAAGAGAAAATAATAAAGCAAATATGGCAAAATGTTAACTGGTGAATCTCTCCAAAGGTTTATGGACATTCTTTGACCTACTCTTGGAACTTTTCTGTAAATGATAAACTCTGTAAAATGATAAAGACTATAAACCAGGTATTTGCAGCAAACCTCAAAAATGGAGACATTTCAGAGATAGTTTCTCTAAAGTCAGTGATTTCCAGGTCTCACAGTAACCTTCAACATTGTACTATGTGACCATCCTGGTAAGACAAGTAAATGGTATACAAAGAACAAGAAGGGATGAAACAAAATTTTTGTTATTTGTAGTTGATGTGGCATACAAATTCAATGAAATAAAGACAAGCTATGAGAACCAAGATCAGCAGGCTTGACAATATCAGTTTTACACTTTGAACTACCAATTACCAGTAATCATCAATTACAAGATATAATGAAAGCAAGACACGAATTGCAATAGTAACAAAACCATAAACATTTTTGAAGTATACTAAAACAACACATGAAACTGTTGACAAAAATGAAATTCGGTTAAAAGACATAAAAATAAATGCAACAAATAATGTTGTAAAGATGGAAGTTCTTTTCAAATTTATTTATACATTCAATACAGTACTGTTGAGATTTAAGCAAGCTCTTAAACTCATGCCTGTAATCGCAGCTGCTTGATAGGTGTAGCTCAAAAAGAACAGGGTTCCAGGCCAGCCTGGGAAAAAAGATAGGGAGACCTCCCCCTCCCCCCACAAAAGAGCTGTATCTGTTAGTGTGCCTGTCATTGCCACTACACAGGAGGCATAAGTAGGACGTGCAAGTAGGAAGATCTCTGTCGAGGACGGCACCCAGACAAAATTGCAAGACCTAACCTCAAACATAACTGAAGCAAAAAGGGCTAGTGTGTGGCTCAAGTGCTAGAGCACTGTGAGGCCCTGAATTCAAACCCTAGTACCAAAAGAAAAAATCCTTGACAAACTTATTTTAAAATTTATACAGAAGAATAAAGCTTGTAAGTAAATGAATTAGAAGAAAAAGAGCAAGGACTTGTCCCACCACATTTTATAAACAATACAAAGAAGTGATGCACAAGAACAGAAATGGCAGATGCAGACTAGAACTGTGAATCTATGGTAATTGGTCGTCTGCTGAACGTGCTCCACAAACCATTATCATTAAATAATTATTAAACTATTATTAAAAGCACAGACTTTAATAATGATGGAAAAATGGCCGAGCTTAGGGAAATAAAGTTGTATCCACGCCATGTACACACGTGTTTGTGTGAACTCCTGAAGGGTAGAAGATAGTTACTGTGAACAATAAACTTACAAAGTTAATTTTAAAATCTCCTTACCCATGTAAGTTTAGAACAGACAAGTTTTCCTTTTACAAAGTCCCTCAAAACAATACAGTTTAAAAACTGCTATATCTGACTACATCAGAATGAAAAATTTTGGTTAGACATGTCAAGTCAAAATTAACAGGTGATGGACTGTGAGTTAATGTTTGAAATATAGAGGAAAAAGTAAGGTACTTTCATAACGAAAAAGATGAGAAATGTGTTTTTAAAAAGAGCAACAATCTCCCAAACTGTCACATTGTTGAAGAGGTGCTTACCCACACTAATGAGAAAAAAAAAAATAACTGAAGAAAAGTAACACTGGATTCGCAAAAAACAGAGATGCTTCAGGCCAAGTTTGGGGGGGTGGTGAGGGCTGGTGGAAAGAAAACCGACGTCTAGGTCCCTCTTTTCACGTGCTCTGGACTCCACCCCCGCACCCTGGCGCCCCGCCGCCCACACCAGACCTAAACCTCAGTTCCGACCTCGGACAGATGTGGGGGAGCCCAGCCTCCACCCATTTCCACGCTGAAGACCGCTCTGGGACTTGTGCGCTCGTGGGGAGCATGAGTGGACGTGCCCGCACCAGGGCTCGAGGCCAGGACCGCAGCCCCAGGGCCACAGAAGTGGGGCACTGCCCGGCCTCCTTGTCGGTGTGTATGGTGCTGACCTGGCCTCGTCTCAAACTTTCCTACCTCTGTGTTGGGCCTGAGTAGGGTCGCCTTCTGTGTGTATCTACTCCTATCTCTGAAAGCGCTTTTTCCCTACTTGGAGTCTTCCTGAAGTTTCTCACCTTTTTTCTTTCAAGGGCTCTGAGTAAGGGAAGAGCATTGGAGGCACTGGATCATTGCTTTCTGAGTTTCAGTTGCTTGATTTGGTTGTAAATTGCCTGGTAAAAAATTGATGTACCTTTATTATATAGCATGAAAACTAACACATTTGCTCTTGCTAACTGGTACATAAAAGGAATAATTGCAAACATGTGTGGTTTACATTCAATTACTGTTGTTTGAGCAAGGGCGGCTTAAATGGGCCCAGAATAAGCAACTTTTGAGTGTCAACTTCATACTCAGGGTTTGGAGCAACCTTTCAGACTTAGACCAAAAGTACTCGACTGAGTATTTTGTGATCATTTTGCCTTTAAACTCATGAAGTGGTCTTCTGACCTTAACTTCTTGGACAAACAGAAGTAGTTAGTGAGAAAAAAAGAAAATTTTAATAGTTCTCTCTCCATCTATTTTTGAGCTAATTTGGCCAAGATTATTGAGGAAACTCATCCTCTGGGCTGGTGCTCCATTTATGTTCATACCCGTGGGCCATGAAGGCCTGAGGCCCATGCATTACTGTGCCAGGACCACTTTCATGGACTCTCTGAGCACAAGGATCACATCTCTGCCTCTTACACTTGAAGGGTTTGACACTGTGTCAGCTCATAGTACTAAAAGCTGTCTGGTGAGCCAGGAAAACAAGCTCCTCTATATCCTTTGGTCTAAAATGGACACTTTTCTCATCTCTCAAGAGTTTTAACTGTTTAACAATTTTGTTTCCCAGATAATCTAATAATTTAAGACATGATACTGTTCTTATCTTTTGATAACATTTTTGTTTGTGACATATCTTAAATCTGAACAAAACTTTTTTCCCATTTTATAGACCACATCCGTTGATCTGAGTAACAATGACGCGTCTTCTAGCAGTGGCTTCATGGGAACCAGCACGATTTCACAGCAACGTAAGTGCAAGTCAGGCTGTTTTGCTTTCATCCCATTCCACCTGAATGGAATGGAAATGACTTCCCCAAACCCCAGAGCAGGGGCCAGTTTTTTGAGCATTCTGTTCTCTTTTTTGAGGGATGTCCATGGTCATATTCCTTTGGAACTCCCTAACACAGAGTGAACTGCTGAATTTCCTGAGTGTTTGGTAGATGGTAATCCATGGACATGAGGAAGCTAGTTTTCTGATTCTTTCTGTTAAGTGAAGAATTTTGAAAAAATACTCTTAAAAATCTTATGGCAATGCTATTGCCTATCTGGATGGTAGAAATATGGCACACATGCTGCTTCTGTCTCCTCTTCCCGTCCATCCTGAGCTACAGTCCTGTTTGATGGCAGCTCTCTTCCCTGCAACCCAGATGTGATCTCAGGAAATTGGTCAACATGCTACTCCAAGTAGCCACTACCACACAATGTGGTTTACTTGGGCTGCCATAACAAAGGAACACAGACTAGGTGGCTAAACAACAGAAATTTATTTTCCCTCATTCTCATTATTCTCTCTCCTCTCTGGATATGGCCGCTTTGTTTCTGGATTCACAGGGTGTTTCCGCTGTGCACTTTTGTGTTCTAATTCTTCTTCGTGTAACATCAGGCCATCTTAACCACCTAACTGTAACTAACTTCTTTAAAGACCGTGTCTCCAGATTACAGTAAGTACTCCAAATTCTGAAGTCCTCGGGTTTGGATTAATATAGCGCAGAGTGACAGGCATTACTGTGTTCTGCTCACGTTTTAGGTGAGGAAAGTGTATCTCCTGGCGATGTTGGAGGTACTGTCATGGAAAGAGCTGTGAAAATGAGCCGGAGCTTCATGGATTTGGGCATCTGTACCAGAAAGAAATTGGCACATGTGAGAGACTGTAAAACAGGTACCCAGTACTCATGTTACTTATCTTTTTAGTGTTACCAAATTATACTTTAAAAACTTTTATTCCTAGATCTAAAATAAATAAGTTCATATATTCACTTAATAGATGTTTACCGAACATTTGCTATGTTCAACGCATTGTCTATATACTTTAGGTATCTTAGCCTTAATTTTCTCTTTTATTGATAGAAACAATATCTTCCTCAAAACCACATCTCACTTTTGGAAAAGATTTTGTCCTTATACCTGAGGTAGGGTTTAAAAGGGTGCTTCTTTTCTTCCCCAGCCATTATTCTCTGTGGAGAATCATAACCTTTCTGGATTCAGCTGCAGAAAGGAAAACATGGTATGGGTAATTCTTTACCCACATTCTGGGATCACTCCTGAAATTCCATGCACAGTTGTAGGCATATGTGTTTTCTGGGAAGTAGGTCTGTTGTTTTCTTTGGTTCCTTCTTCACTGATGCAGATCAGTGTTTTTCAAACCCTTTTTTTTAAAGCCAAAACAAGAACAAGAAATGGATATGTTACCATCCAGCAAACACATGCATACACATGCAGCTGCAGAAAAAGTTTCACGAAATAGTACTTACCCTCCTACATTCCAGGCACTGTGGTCCACTATGCAATAAACATGCTTTTGTGTCACTTCCTAATGATGGGACCAGCTATAGTTTGAAAACACTGGTGTAGATTATTTCAAAATATCTCACCAGTTGCTACATTTTCTAGCTTGAGTTGTCATCCTCATTTATAAGAGCAGCTATGTTGCCATTTCCTTGAAATCTGAGAAAACAAAAGAAAGCTTTCCTTTAACTGAAGTAGCACAATGACTCCTTGCTCCTTCCAAATAAATACCACAGGCTGAGGCCAAGGAAACCCTAAAGTACACAGGACACTTTTTCTTTCTCACCACTTCAGGGGCTCATGTTTCTATTTCCTTCAAGAAAAAAAGAAAAAGTAGTGTCTATTTGATGTCATTTCTTTTCCTCTAAGAAACTGAGTGACTCTATAAGGAAAGGCAAGAACAAAGTCCTAGTACCCTCCTAGATTCTGGCAAGGGTGGGGGTGGGGGAGCTTATGCTACCCTGAGCACTAACTCTCTATGACATGGTCATTGATTTTTAAATCATGTCCCATTGATTTTTAAACTGTGAATTAAAATTTCTATAGGAGGAAAGTTTGGAAACACACATGGCTTCCATGTGCCTGCAGAAATTAGAAGCCCAAGTCCTGTCTGCTTTCCCACAGGACAGAAACAGTCCCTCCCCCTCTCCCAGCCTGCCTGCCTGCCATCTCTTAGTCCCCGAGTCTTTTTCAGATTTGCATGGTGATCAAACTACTAATAGAACTTCACGATTTTCAGAAGGATGGTTAACTTTTGATTATCTGTAGTTCTCAAAAGTGGGGGGGGATGTATTATTGGACAGTTTCTTTGTCATCTGAGAACAGCACATTTTCAGGGTAGCATGTGAAATTATTACTGATTGGACTTGCAGAAAAATAGAGCTGGAAGGCAGGCTTGGGAGGAGCCTGGGAAATTAAGTTCAAGTGCATCTCTTCTCCCAAGGTCAAGGATGTCAGTGTCTATTCCATGTTGCTCTGAGGCTTGCTTCACACACGATCCCAATTTAACTCCCAACGGTGTTATCAGGCTTCAAGTTTAAGAGATTTTCTTGCGTCACTGAGCAAAAATTCTTGGTTTATAGCAAGTACTGTGCAAATGTAAATTAAAGTATAAAGTTATGTGATTAATTTTATCATGTTATGATTTTTAAGGAAATAATTCTGTTTTTTTGTTTACCTTCCTTAGGTTCCAGTGGAATACCTGTGAAATTGGTTACAAATCTGTTTAATTTAGATTTTCCCCAGAACTGGCAGCTATACCAGTACCATGTGACATATATTCCAGATTTAGCTTCTAGAAGGCTGAGGATGTCTTTGCTTTATAGTCATAGTGAACTTTCCAACAAACCAAAAGCATTCGATGGTGTTATCCTTTTTCTCTCACAAAAGCTAGAAAAAAAGGTAAGGTGTGGTCAGTCTTTTCAACATGTGTGTGTGCATGCATACACACATGCTACCATGCATGTATTTAATGATGGGTTGATTGTCATGACAGTGGGAACGAATATTTCACTAACTCTTCTCACTTTCTTCTGTTCACTGGCTTGAGCTCAGAGACTTCCTAAGACATCATCAGTAATTGAGTTCACCACTAAAAGGCTGATGGCATGGCATTTAAAAAATAACAGTTGTAAGTGTCCTTAAAACATGCGTGGTTTTCAACTTTTCCTCAAATTGGCAAGACGCTGATGAATACCACTTAGCCTGGTATTTATTCTGCTTTATTGCTTCTGCACAGTTGTGCCTGTGTGTCCAAGTAATTTCACATCAGTCTCTGAATCTAGGACTGCCATTTCTTTCATGACTTGCTCCAGCATATAAAATATGAGTCAATGATACCAGTTCTACGAGTCTTTTAAAAATGTGACTATTGGAAATGACAGTTGAATGTTTCAGATTCCTTTATCCATTTTTATGCTTTCAGCATTTTCATTCCTGAAATAAAGAAATTGGTATTGATGTTTCATCATATGCTGTACTCTAAAATGATCTTGAAATTAGCACAGGGAAAGAAAAGAACCGGTTTTGTATGAAATCTTCATCAATATATTTTATCAATATATGACCTGCTGCTCAGTTATAGTTAAAACGTATTCTGAAAATGATACTGCAACTCACCTTTTATTCGGATCTTAATATTGACTCAGGCTGCATCCCTTCCAATTCCCTACTCATTTCCTAGGGTACTTATTTTTGGAAAGAATCTCTCCACTGATTCATTCATTGTGTTTCCAAATACGATTCTGGAAATCCTGTTCAGCTGCCTCCTGACCTTCAGATCCCATCTGTGCACTGAGGATTCATACCTATTTGCTACTCTCATGTACTTATAAAGTGCCTACTGTGTATTTAGTATCGTGGAAGAAACAGATAAATGAAGCAGGGTTCTTCTTTCAAAAACTTTTTATTTAGTAAGTGCCCTAGTAGTAATTAGGCTTTTTATTATGCTAATATTTAGTGAGCATTTGCTCACTACAGTATTACGTTTCCTGATTGGTCCCAGCATCTCTCTCTTGAGAGGAGCAGATCTACACTTTATATATAGATCTGAGCAGGTACTCCCCCACTAGTTATACTGTTATAATGTCTACCTGACTACATTTCTTGACTGTTTACTTTGCCAGACTCTTAATAGCACCATCGAATTTAATCCTCTTATCAATCCTGGAGCCTGAGAGGTCCAAGGTCGACATACCGAGCTTAATAAAAGGCAGGGTCATCCTTAGCAGAGCATTTTAGTGGGAGACATAATTAGTTTCTTGAGGATGATTTGGATCAATGAAATGGACAACAGGGAGGGGGATTCCTAGGCTGAAGGGGGCAAAAGTCCAAAGATAGGCAGTGAAGGATGTATTTTAGAAAATTTTGGTAATTCAGATTTAACCACGACACTGTGGAAGTTGTGCCTCCATAGGTAGGGAGGATTTTAAGTGTCCTGCTGAGGAAAAGAGCCTGTCCTGTATGGACCATTGAAACCTTTATGGGAGCGTTTCCATGACAGCTGTGTTAAATTAGTTACTCTGATCACATCCTATTGGTGTATTCTCAGAAAGAGGTGGGAAGGTCAATGAAATAGTGTAACCAGGATGTCAAAATGGCTTGCATAAAAATTCTAAGCGCCACTCGTTTAACCTTCCTGAGCGCTGCCTGTGCTGTGGATGAGGATAGGATTCATGCCCTGCCCTGTTTAGTCTTCACAACCCTGGGACTTTAGTTGGACTTCCTCCCACTTTAGAGATGGGGAGTCAAAGTAATTTGTTGCATATCACACAGGCTACAAAAGGCAGTGCTTTCTGATTCCAAACCATGTGTACTTAAGCACTGTGGTTAATACTGGTATTGGAACAGCTGAAAGAGATTAGATACATTGCGAGTATAAATCCACTAAGACTTGCCAGCTGGTTAGACTGTGAAGGAGAATGGAAGTTCACTTTGAGGGTAGCAGCCTGGGGTTGGAGAGTCGTGGGGCAGGAAGCAAAGGAGCCTTTGGTGTTTGGTGGGGGAGAGCAGGGGGAGCCAAGCAGTTTGATCTTAGGTGCCTGTTGGGAAATGCAGGTCCTGAGTCCATCTGCTGACACTTTCCGTCAACTCCTTACACCAACATCCTTTGTTGTCTTAATCTTTTGTCCAAAAACCCCTGCCAGGGTTTGAGGGCAGCAGCCTCTCCTGCCTACTAGGCTTTTCCTGATGTTGAAGAGCTCTTCCTACAACTGTTCTGATTATGTACAGTTTTATCTGAGGCAAGAGATAATCACAGTGAAATATTTCATCCCCTGTGAAGGAACTGGTTTTTCTTTATTTCCATGCAGTGGTCAGCTCCTGTCACAGATTCTTGGTTCAACTGAAAAGTGGTTAAACTGCACTGTAATTATAGAAAGTAGTCACAGAATGCCATGTATGCTTACTAATTAGCTGACTTCTAAAATATTACCCTTTAGAAAAATCTCAGAGTACTGATTGATATTTATTGACCTATTTTTGAATCCTTGTATTTTAAAAACCTGTTCTGAGTCCTACCTGGTTCAGAGCCTGTTTTTAGTCAGGGAACTGTTATAGAAACCTATGCATGCATTTGTTACATTGCTAAAAGATGGTTCCAGGGTGGAAGAGCCCTAAAGATTTCTCCAAGCCTATTGTAACCTTTACAAAAAAAAGAATAAGGAGGAAAGATTTGTTTTAGCTCAAACATTCAGAGGTTCCTTTGCAGATTTTAGAATTGCTTTAACTTCTCCCTTCAGTTTTACTTTCCCCTTGGTCTGTCTCCCCCCTCCTTTGCTTTTTTCCTCTGTGATTCTGCTTTTTGAATAAGCTTTCGAAAGGCTGTCCTTGGAAATCCATGAACTTGGGATGGGCAGGCAGTCCACTAACAAGTATCTGGGCCTCTGTGAACCTCCTGAAAATGGTTGCATCATGTATTCTTGTGGGGGGATGTGTGTGTGATTTTTATGGGAGAATTCTTTAACTTTTATCAGCCTCTTGAAGTACTTTATAACCCATGTCCCCTTCTGCCCCCCAACCTCCCAAAAAGGTCAAGACCCATCATTCTGGAATTCTCTTTGTATCAAATCTTTGAACCACGAGTCTGGCTTTGATTTTTTTTGTCATGAAGTTAGAAGGTAGAGACATATGTTGCTTTTTTAGAAATAGTAAACTGTGGAGGAAATAAACCCCTTGCAAACATAATATGAGCATTAGATTATTAATCATGTATAACACTTGCAGTTTTGCTTTTGTTAATGTATATTAAATTGTGATGGCTTTATAACATCTGCATTGTGCACACTTGGGGCTAATCTGTAGCGTGTATTTTAAGTACCTCTTTTTCCAGGTCACAGAATTGTCAAGTGAAACTCACAGAGGTGAGACTGTAAAGATGACTGTAACTCTAACGAGCGAGCTGAACGCAAGCTCCCCTGTGTGCATCCAGTTCTTCAATATCATCTTCAAAAAGTAAGTCACTTCAAACGCAGATTTACTTTGGACTAATGATACCTTTCAGCATAGAGCCTGGGTGTTAAAATGATCAACCATTTGCAGGCAGTGCTCCAGCAATTGTTTAGGACGGTCTTCACATACTTTCGTGCATTCCTGCAGTAATGTATAGCAATCTATCACAGCCTCTTTTTTGCACAAAATCATTATTACCCAGTGTTATCAGAACTGGGACAAGGAATTTAAGGTCATTCATTGGTAGCAAAGAAAATACCTTTTCCTTTTCTTCATTTTCTGTGCTCCATCCCACCTGAGTTCACTGTGTTTGACTTAGTCACCTGAAGGATCAGTTTTTCTCCTGGCTGGCTGATTTAAAATGAAAAAGGCCATTACCATCTGCTTTCTGCTCTGGCCCCATCTTCAGCCCCATTCTGTCCATGTACACATGGGACAGAAGGAAGGCCGCAACTAAGCTTTTTCAGTGTTCTTTATATTGGTCCAAGGATCAAGTGTTCTGAAGTCTCCTTAGGGTAGGGGGAATTTAATCAAGTACAGATTCTCTGGCCCCTCTTTGCACTTAGTAAGCAGAATGTCATGGGTAGGGTCTGAAAATCAGTAATTTTATCATGCTTTCAGAGGCTAGTAGACACTCTAAAGCATATGAATGGTCCTCTGTGCTGCTGGTGTGGATCACTATTATGAGAGCTCAGAAGCCTTAGACATCACCCCTTTGCTCAAGCAGCTGCTGGAGGGGTTGGAGAAGTTTTGGACTTCTCTTAGTAGAGACACATAAAGACACATTCCACACAAGATGCACTGTTTCATAATTCTGCCTGGATATTTTTTCCACTCTTTTGATCAAGTCTGGGCTTTGTTTTGGCTCACAGCCACTCTGGCACGTGTCCTCCTGAGGGACTGTTTTTGAATCAGCTGACATTCGGAAGGTTGCTTTCCAGTGGCAAAGCTTTTTCAGTTGTGTCTTATTTCACTCCGTTCTCACGTGAGTGCCCTGAGGCAGGTACTTGCTACTTGAATCCCCATGTTATAAATACTGAGAATAGAACTCAATGACGCTTGATGGCCCAAATTAAAATTGGAACCTCTACATTCTGACTCAGAACTTCCTGTATAACACTCACCTACATGTTACTGGACAGTCTCCTGTGGATGATGTCTCAAGTTCCAGAGTTGACTGGGGCAAACAGTTGCTGAAGGGGCATCAGATAGAGCTTCCTCCTCTCAAAGGGGAAGGAAATCAGAGGAGCCTCAGACACAGGTTACCTTACCCTGTCTGGCTAACCAGAATGTTACAGCAACCTCAGTTGTAATGGGTAATTGACCACATATTTATCATTTGTGTTAAGCTCAAAGAGATGAAAATAATTTCATTTAAATCATCCTCAAGTAAGAAGTGATAGTTCTTATATGTACACACTCATGTATATTTAGTATCGGGATGTTCCAGTGTTTATGAAGAACACATTTATACTTTCTATATATTTTATTATGGTCAGCTTATATATAAACTTAGAAATACCCTGTTATTGACTAATATTTACCAAAGATTCAAAAATATATGCTTGCAGGATCTTAAAACAATTGTCCATGTACCAAATTGGACGGAACTTCTATAAGCCTTCAGAGCCAGTGGAAATTCCCCAGCACAAGTAAATTTACTTATGTTTTCTGTTCTTCTTAAATGGCTGTAGTGTGAGCAGCATAGTTTATGATGCAATATTATGCTAGTCTGTGTCCTGTGAAAGACTGTAATTTGAAATGCAATGGGCCTTTATAATTTTTGAATATTTTTATAAAATGGTGAATGTGAGGTTTGAAGCCTGTTTTCTTATGTTAGTTTGCTAAGTCATTATCATAGATTCTAGAAGGAATTCAGCAGCTGAATTTTCTGTATATAACAAGTAATAATGAGAGCAAAATAAGCTGCATTGTATTATAACCCATAGCTGCTGTTCTCTGCTCTTATTAAAAGGAAATTAGCACAGCCATGGTGGTTGCCATGAGATCATTGGGTAAACAGAGGTCAGACAGCCGAGCCAACACAACTACCCCAGTGAAAGGCAGAACTGTTCTGAATACTTGCAGCGTGCTCTCCCAACCGGGAGCTGGATGCCACAGGGAACGTGGTCAGCTCTGCCTCTAACTGGTTGGTACTCAGCTCTCCAGAAAATTGTGATCAAGTTAAAGATAACAGGGAGACGTGCAAAAAGGATAGAAGACTGGCGTGGTAAAGGCAAAATGACGCGGGTCCCATATGTTTAGTCAGTGTGTCAGAGTGGTCTCCACATGGCGTCTTATTCATTCCTGTCCCTTATCTCTGCCTGACTTAGGAATGTTTGCAACCCAGTGTAGTGCTAAGGGGCAGCAGGCGCCCAGTACATATGCTTGTCCTGAATGAAGCCTGCCTTCATAGCACAGTGAGCTAAGTCCTCTAAGTATAAACTGGAATTTTTTTTTAAATTGTCTATTTTTTCATGCTATCCTCCTGATCCTCCTAATTTTCATGTGATCCTCCCAATCTCTGCCTCCTGAGTAGCTAGGATCGTAGGCTGAATCACCAGCACCCTAGCCATTTCTTCTTCTTTAAGATTTTCAGTCCATGTAGAAAGGATCTGATCTCTTATGTATCCATAAATGGTTCATATTTATTAGTTTATTAGTCTCATTAAATCTTTCTCTCTCTCTCTCTTTTTTTTGATAGTACTGGGGTTTGAACTCAGGGCTTCATACTTGCTAAGTAGGCACACACAGTAGGAGTTCTACTGCTTGAGCCACACCTCCAGTCCATTTTATTCCTGCTATTTTTTGGAGATGAGGTCTCAAACTATTTACCTGCGCTGGCTTCAAACTGCCATCCTGCCAATCTCAGCCTCCTAAGTTGCTAGGATTATAGGTGTGAGCCATGGGCCCAGCTCATTTATTGGATTTAGTCACTGTCTTCAGCTTTGATGTGGTATGATTTTCTGACCAATATGTTTGCATGCTTGCACATATCACTCCATGAAAATATCATTTCTGCAGCTAACTCCTAACCAGAGTTGTCCAGTCTAGAATACCAGTGGTGCTAAGGTTGAGAAACTCTGCTTTATAGTAATATTTTTTATCCTAAACATAGGTTCAAAGACACTCCAGCCAAAAAAAACCTAGTTTTTAATAAGCAATGAGAAGAAATCACACTAAAGAAAAAAGTTACTTCTAAAAAATTAGAATGAAAAATTACCTCTTAAAAATCTGTATTGTTTTTCTGGTACAACATTTTAAACATTAAATTTTAATTTTTCTCTTACTGTTTTTAATTGTTTTTTTAAAGATTATCCCTTTGGCCTGGGTTTGCCATTTCTGTATCACATTTTGAAAGTAGGCTCCTGTTTAGTGCTGACGTGAGTTATAAAGTCCTCCGGAATGAGACTGTTTTGGAATTCATGACTGATCTCTGTTACAATACTGGCATGTCCTGCTTTACCCAGATTTGTGAGAAACAGCTGATAGGGCTTATTGTCCTTACAAGGTAAACGTCTGCATCTACATAATTTTTCTCTATAGAATGGATTGTTTAACAGTGTCTGGGTACAAGAATTTTATTGGCTAGAATACAGGTCTGATCAGTTGGCTTTCCTGTGCAGAAGATCTGGCAACTCTGTTGTCTAGGATTCAGTCTTCCTCATGTGACGTTATGGACTGTCTCAAACTGACATCTTGCCAAATTATCTCTCGCTGTGCCCTCACCCTCATTCTAACAGCCTTTGCTGCTTTAGTGCCTCTGGCTGAGTTCCCTACCCCCAATTCTGCCTTTCAAACCTTCACCTCCACAAAACCCAGCTCTCATCTTCCTGATGCCACCCTTGCCAATTTAGTTGGAATCTGCCTGCTCTCAAAAACACTTTGCTGAGAGGCCTCTCTTCATGGCCAATATATTGCATTTTATTATTATGGTACAGAACATGAGACCTATAACTCACTTTCTCTATAAAGTTTTGAGATCTTTTCAGCTGAGAGCATGTTTCACTTGTCTGTAAATTTCTGAGTTTATCTATGTAGAATTTGCTCTTAATGCATATTGTACTGACAGGTACACTGGCTGATGAGATGACTTCCTCAGCTCAAAAAAATTCATCAGATACTGTTGCTAACCCACAGATCTAGTTTAGTGGACATGCTATCCTATCCTAGCCTGGCTTTCCAATTACGGTTGCTTTTCTGGGTTATGTAGGAGGGAGTGAGACTGGTTAATACTCTATACTGCCTAGGGTGGGAAGGCCTCCCTTTAGCCTCCTGTCAAGATCTTGACAGATTAGCTTATCATACTCTTTCAAAACAACTTTTCAAGCCACCCAGAGTTCTGGAGAAACCTGCCTTGGAGTTTTCTGTCCGCAGGTCAGGGCACATGAGGACACTCCTGGCTGCACAGAGCCAGCCAGGAATGAAGGAAAGAGGTGCTTGGAGTGGTCTTAGCCAATCTATTTTACAGTTAGGCTGAAGGCCCTCAGTGGGAGGTTAAGTGGGATAGCAAAATGGTGTGTTTGGTCAGTATACTTGGTGGTGATTTTATTAGAACCTGGGAGCTCAAAGAATCTGAGTGACACCAGAAGCAAACAGGAAAGTTTAGTGCAATGCTTCCTCATTTGAACATTTAATAATGATTTACCTGAAGTTAGAATGTCTATTGGTGAGAAAAACACATTGTTGTCTGCCGACTTTCTCACCACATTTATTGGGATACAAGATAAGAATTAATTAATACTCTTCTCAAGCAAGAGCTGATCATTAAAAACAAAAAAAAATGACTATCGTACATTACTATGTTCCTTAAGTTCTGACATTCTGCCATGGATCTTACACCTTGAATTAAAAGTGTGGTGAAGTAGCTGCTTATTTAAGATTATTTGGAAGACTTTTTGAAAAGGTTCTTACATTTACCAGATACAATAACAAAACCTACCGTATTGATGACATTGACTGGACGGTGAAGCCCACACATACCTTTCAGAGGCGGGATGGCTCTGAAATCACCTATGTGGATTACTACAAACAGGTAGGGATTTGTGTCTTTTATCTCCTTTCCTCTTAGCTCAGAGAAGTCTCCTTAGCTCTTTCCATTCCAGCGAATTCCCCAAATTGCCAGGATAAGTCTGCCTCCCACAAAATTCTCTGACTTGTTTCTTCTCTATCCCTGGCTTGACTGAGATCCTCATTGTCTGAGTAATCTGTAAAAAGCATGTCTAGGGCCAGGCCCAGTGGCTCAAGCCTGTAATTCTAGCTACTTGAAAGCTGGAGAAAGGAAAGATCATGGATTGAAGTCACCCCAGGAAAAAAGCTGGTGAGACTCTATCTCAACCAAAAAAGCTGGATATGGAGCATTGCTGTCATCCCAGCTATGGTGGGAAGCATAAATAGGAGGATTGCAGTCCAGGCTGTTGTGGGCATAAATGTGAGACCCTATCTCTCAAAAATAACCAAGTTAAAAAGGGCTGGGTTGTGGCTCAAGTGGTAGAATGTCTGCCTGGCAAGCATGAGGCTCTGAGTTTAAGCCTGAGTACCCATATCTGGTAATGTCACTTCCAAACTTAAAAACATTTCCATGGCAGTTTATTGCCTTAGTAGACAAATATAATCTCCTCAGCAGAGTTTTCAGGGCCCTTTATGCTCTGGCCACCCCCTGTCATTAAGCCTTGTCTCTTACTTCTGTCCTATCCCTTCCCCGTTCCTTGGCTAAGTGTCTCCCCTGTGCATTTTCACACAAGTTGCTTCTTCTTCCTGAATACTCCTTTATACAGACAAACCCTAAATACTCTTCAGTGTTCATTTCAGCTATCAGCTTCAAGGGAGTCCCATGGCACTTTTTCCGGACTCCCTGCCCTGATCTTAGCTGTATATCAGGTCACTTCAGGGAGGACATGGGTGGTCTGAATTCTGTTGTGGACTTGGGTCTCCCTAAGGCCTGACTTGAGCTCTTGTATTTCTGGATTCTTTGCACATAGCAGATGTTCAAGAAACCCTTATTGATGGAATCTCCTAATACCTCTTGAATCCCTGTTCCATTTATCACGATTACCTGCCCCCCACTTTCCATGTTCAGCTTCTTTCAGAGACACCCTCTCTTTTCACCTCACAGGTAAATTTAAAACAAAAATAACAACAATAAAAAGATCAGAAACCCTTTCTTGATCTTTCTATACCTGCAGGAAAAGCTCTCTTTTCCTTCTTAGTTAACTTTGGAAAGTCCTCCACACTAGCTCCAAGCCCCTTCAGTTCTTCCCAAAGCAGCAGTCTGGTATCTGGCTCTGTTGTTATGGAAACGGCTGTAGGAAAGTCAAAGTCAGTTATCTTTATTACCTTATGCCATGTTTGGTGGCATTTTTTTCTTTCCTTATCAGTAATTATTTTATTTCTAATTGACAGATAATTGCACACATTTATGAGGACAGTGTGATGTTTTAAACATTTAAACATTGTGTACTAGAGAGTATATGTTAAATGAAAGAAGCCAGGCACAGAAAGACAAATGCTGCATGATTTCACTCTTGTGTAGAATCTAAGCCTCTGAGCTCAGAGAAGAGTGGAGTCGTGATTACCAGAGGAAGGCAGGCATGGGAGAGCAGATGCTAGATACAAAGGCACAGTCAGCTAGGAGGATTATAAGAGGAATAAGGTTTGTTCTACAGAAAGAGTGATTACAATTAACACTGTTGTATGTATATTTCAGTAACATTTGTCACTTGTGACCACTCCCACCTGCCTGACCTTCTCTCTTCCTTCCTTGACTACTGAGTCACACCCTGTGGTTCTCTCCCAGATTTTACGTTATTCTGTCTTAGCCTCTTTTGACATTTGTCTCTCTTCCTTTCCCCTCAAAAGGAACCAGTATTCACCATTGATCCCACAAACCGGATCTTTTTGTTGTATTTGAGATCCCTCAAATAGAGTATTTTGCATTACTTTCATTACTAAATTATGTACTCATCTTCATCCCCAGAGCATATTTGCATGAATGTCCTGCAGGTATATCAGATTAAAAATAATTTAAGCTGAATTATATTGTCTTTTCCAATCCTATTTCTTCTGGGGGGAATTCTGCTCAGCTGGGAAGTTCTTTTGCTTTCTTCCTCTTCTCCACCCTTATCTACTTATTCAGTTGTCACCAGGATGAATTCTGTTCCTTTTATCCTCCCCAGCCTGGTCCTAATCCAGTAATGATTAGGTAGGTGTTGCAGGCACCCCATGTGGTCTCCTCCCCAGCTCTCTCTCCACCATGACCCAACATTCTCACTGCTACTAGACAGATTTTTTCTGCCCAGAATGTGATTAAGAGCATAAACTCAGAAATGAGAGGACCCTGGCTCTAGCTATTAACTTTGGGAAAATCACTAAACTTGAAGGTTAAAGATGGACCTAACTAATCTTGCTGCTAAGGGAATTTATTTGTCTGCCATAATAGTGTAGAGTAAGCATTGAACCAGACAATGGTGATACAGAGCCTTTACCCCAGTGCCTGCATGTTGTAAGCACCGAATGAACCCTGTGAATGGTGGAGCCCCTACTCCTCCCTCACTATCCTCCCCTTCTTCCTCTCTAGCATCACACAGTCTGACCCCACCATGCTCCCCTGTTTACTCACTAGAGGTTAAGTGGTCCTTAGTCTTTGTGCACATTTACTAGACATCTGCATGAAGCCCCTCCATCACTAGGTCAAATCTTAGCTTCAAGGTCAAGTCCTGTGATGTTCTTTCTGATTTGCTTCCTGTCATACATGTTCTCTAGAAGCACCACATTGCTTCTAGAACATGTTTTCCTTGTAGAACAGGGAATCCTGAATGCGTAATGCCTGACACAGCATCTTGTGCATAAAATGTGCTCTGTGTTTATTAAACTCACAGGTTTCTAAACACTTGGGTTTCTTTCCTACACGATTGTATTTTTTTCTTATTTGAAAAGATGTATTTGAGGACTTGTGGTTTTTCTGAAAAGGGAATCATGGTAAAATCTCATTCACTTTTTTTGTAGTGAGTTATAGCACACTGCAAATATTTTGTAATTAGGTAGAATATTTTGTAAATTTGTGTCAAATTTTAGAATGTCCTCTGTCCAAGGAAAGGAACACTAAATTATTATGTAGTCAATTTTTAAAGTAGAAGACATTTTCTTATGTGAAGGCTGGGGAGGACTGAGAGATAGAACAGCTTGAAACATCTAACCAGTATTTCCAGGTTCTTGTCACTATCAGAGAAAGAATTCACAGATGAGACAAAGGAAGTTTTATTACAGAGAGAAAGTACACACTCAATGGGTAAGAGTCACATTTCCCAAGATTTTGGATAGCTCGTCCCTGTAAGCAAACTTTAATGGAGGGAAGGGTTATTTGAGTTAAGATGAGGAAAAGGTGGAGAATTCCAGGAGTAGGTTGGAACTTTCCAGGAATAGTGTTTGCTCCCCTTTTTCTGTCATTGTATGGAGTTTTTGAGTGTGTCATGGAGTCATTTGTATGATGGGAATAGCCAATTTTGCAAGGGTGACAGTATGGAGATGCCACTGAAATGAAGCAGGGACCGTTAGTGGTTGTCTCTGTTGGTTATATTGGTCCCAGCCAGTTTGGGTGGTCTTGCTTTTTCTTTGATTGGTCATGCAGTGTCCTGCTGTAATACAGCTCTATGCTTGCATCAGCCTCGAGTCACTTGATAGTCTGCCTCTTTTTTTCCCTATACCTATCTTGTCTACCACATTATCAAGAAAAATATTTGAAAGTCCTAAGAAAATTGGAGCAAGGGAGAGTGTTAAAATCAGCTGAGGATAGCTCCTTCACGGGAGGAGTTCTTGATCCTGCCCCATCCAAGAAGAAGACTCTCTTTCTGGAACTTGCCCAGCTGTCCTGGAGCTGTTTCCTGGAACTCTCCTACTTCCATGTTTTCTTCAAGGCCCTTTATTGTACTTTACTTCCTTCGCAAAGCCCTCCCCAGTTTACCAGCCACTAGACCCAGTACTCAGTGGTGTAACAAGCAGAGTTAAGGGTTAAACCTGGCTGTGCTAATTTCCAGTTATGGAATCTTGGGAAAGTTGTTTGATTTCTTACCAGTGTTTCCTCATCTGTGAAGGGAATGATAACAGTGTCTATCTCCTAAGTTTGTTGTTAAATGGAGAAAAATATGTGCTTAGTATATCATTATTTGTGGTTCTCTGGTTTGCTTTGAAGATAATGTAGCTATGAGGAAAGGCAAGGCCCTTGCCTGTTTTATTCCTTTCTACTGCAGTTCCTAAGGCTTAGTAAGACTTGGTAAGCATGCCACACATACTGAATTAATGAAGTAATGTATAAAAAAAGCTTCTCAAAGCTGTTTATCCATACTGTTAGTCGTACTCATCACTTTAACAAGTGATTCCTGAATTTAAGAGAAAGGCAGTTGTTGATGTGAGCACTACACAGTGCCCAGGCATTGTGTAAATTACAATTCCAGTTGTTCTGCCATTAGTGTTGAGTAAATTATAGAGAGTGAATGTTAATTTGAACATTTACCTTTGGAAATGAACTTTTGGTCTGGCAAGAATGCTGAAATTCAAGTTTAGGAAAGAAAAGGGAGTAGGGTATGAACTGACAATTACTTAGGACTCTATGAATTAGACACCATCCTAGTGGATTGCTGGATAATTCTGAGCTTCTGTTACCCTCATTTCATAGATGAAGAAAGGTAACTTCCCTAGTGTCACAGCCCAAGTAAATGGAAGAGCTGATGATCAAATTCATATTTGTTAAACTTCTGATCTGTTTCCCTGTAACATTTCAGATGTTAGTAGTCCTCTTTTTGAGCTCTAAGGTTGACTCAGCATAACCCTTGCCTCTAACTTACATTCACACATTTCCAAAATGAATTTGGGTGTTTATGACTGGTTATTTAAGCATTGGGCATTGTGCCTTAATCATCAATGAGGAAAATGCTGCCTTTGAGTCATATCTCTTGAGAGGTCACTGAACTGTGTATAGAACCAACTATTCTATATATTTTTAATTGTATTTTATTTTTTTAAATAGAGCAGACTATTCTAAATCTGGATAAAACCCAGAGAAAGCATGGACATGACCTTTTTTTAAAATGGTATTACATTATAAACAATAATTAAAATCATAAACCTGGTACTCAGATACAAAAGATGAGTCCCAGAAAGTTATAAGGAACTGAAAACCAGGGATATTTTTTCTTCCACTAAAAAAAAAATTATTGTATTCATTTGGGAATTTGTTTCTTTCTTATAACTAAGGATGTTCTTCTTACAGTGTTTCCACATTAACTTTTCCCTCATTAATCTTGCATTTATAGCAATACGATATTACTTTATCTGACCTAAATCAGCCAGTGCTTGTTAGTCTGTTGAAAAGAAAGAGAAATGACAACACTGAGGCTCAGATTGTTCACCTGATGCCTGAGTTCTGCTTTCTAACAGGTAACGTTAATCTTTTAAAACTCTGCTGGGCTGCTGATCACAGACTCCTAGTCTTCACAGTGGGCAGAACTTCCTTAAGTTAGCTGAGTGCTACAGCATCAATTAAAGTCATGGAGGATGGGCCTTTTAGACATTTATTCAGTAATATAGACAGGTGGAAGGGCAGAATGCTCGTTGGAATCCATTTCCTTTATCTCATGTACTCTACTTGTTACCCTGATGTAAAATAAAACTCCAGGTATTTCCCTAAAGCCAAGCTGCTTTTTGCTGTTTTTTGGACCATCACTAGTATAAGAAGCAATATGACTTTTATTTTCATCAGGTGTATTATTAGAGTGATGCCAAAATGATCCTTGGTTTCTTTTTTGCATGAGTTTTGAAAGGTGATCCTCACTATACAGCAGAACCTGAGTAATTGTCCTGAGTACTTTTAGTAATGCTTACTTGACTAAAAAAGAGGGGACTTTCTATATTTGTATTGCTTAAGTCACTATTGATTTATACATTTATTTTGCCCTTAGAAAAATAAATAAAATATAATCTTTGAAGAGAGGGATGATCGTTGCTCTGGTGTTTGGATTTCATGTGGTCATCAGTCACACAGTTCACTAAGCACGTCAGATGTGACTAATTCACTGAAAAACCGAAATGAGATGTGCTGCACGTATAAAAACCAGACTGGCTTTTGAAGGCTTACTATTAAAAAAGGAAACTACCTGAGTAATGCGTCTTATATTGATTATATATTGAAGTGATAATATATTGAGTTAAATTTGAAATAATTTCGTTTGTTTCTTTTGGCTTAAAAAAAAGTCCTGGCTACTAGAAAACTTTGATTGGCTGTGTGGCTTGTGGCTTGCATTTCCATTGGATGGTGCTCTCCAGATGGTGAATCTGATTCAGCTTGAATAGAAAAGTTTCAACTGTGTTCCAGATGGGCTGGGATTACATTGCATGTGCTCAGTTTCCCTCTATTGTTTTGGTTTGCATGTCACAGGTCTGACTGAACAGGCAACCTCTGATTTCCACCTGATGAAGGCTGTGGCTGAAGAAACACGTCTTAGTCCTTTGGACCGGCAGCAGCAGCTGGGCAGGCTTGCTGACAATATCCAGAGGTACTGAGTGCTTTGCTGAGACTGTGTATGCCCTGTCTGAGGCCAAGTGTGTAGAAATGGATGATTTATATGATGCTTTGTTCCTTAATGAAAATACCTACTTTTGTCAGCCCAGAGCAAGGCACTGAAACATTCATGTCTAGTGTTTAGCGGTTCACCCAAGATGCTCAGGAGTCATGGCAAGGTTGAAGAGAAGGGATGGAAGGATTTGCACCCCATTTCAACTGGACAGCTCCACTTTCATTGTTTAGTGAACTGAGGTCTGGGCAAGCCTTTGAATGAGGGAAAGAGTTACCAATAAAAAACAAAAATAAACAAACCACCCCAAACCCCTCCAGGCCCCTGATATTCAGTGGCGGGATAGGGAATGCTTAATTCTTGATAAAACAGCCTCATCAGATGAACTTTCCCACTGTACAACCTTAGACTTGAGATGCCTTGTCCTTCAGTTCAGATCGCCTGATTCTCCGACTGTATTCCTGCCCTCACTTATAACAGCTTCTATAACCTGTGAAGAGAGAATTCAGTATCTCCCTGTTCTCCTTTCTGACTTTGTAAAACCACTGATGTGGTGTGGTGGTTACTGGGCACTTGAAATGTGGCTAATGGCACATCCTGAGTTGATAAGATTTTGGCTGTATTAGGATAAATAATATATATTTAAAAGTAATTGTTGTTTGTTACTTTTTAGTTTTTTAATGTGGATACCATACAATTTTAAATTGTGTTTGTTGGTCTACATTGTTATAAAATGATCATTTTTCTTTAAAACAATTTTTAAACATGATGGAGGAATTTGGAAATTTACATAAACAAAACAAAGAAGAGAAAGGGAGAAAGGAAGGGAGGGGGAGTGTGAATTCAGTAATTATTTGTTTAATACATGAATGAATCATGACTGAATGAACATCTATGTTTTTGCTGGATATTTCCAAATGCATACTTCTTTATAGGAAAATGGCCTGGTACTGTACATCGTGTTTTATAACTTTTTCACTTAAAGGTTTACTTGAGCATTTCCATATTATACTGTGTCTCTCAGTCATGCTAGTGGCTCACGTCCTCCTCATAGTCTTCCTGCTACCCTGTCGATGCTGTGCATCATCTGAAGCTTAAATCCCATGTCCCCTTCCTTTGTCATCTTCCATCCACTCCCAAGCTAGCAAATTCAGATATTCTTGGAGATATCACCACATCCAGAGGCTCCAAATAACAGTTTGTTTTTAGGAATAATAATATATTGCATTTATTAAGCACACAGAATGTGTGGTAGCACTTTTGGGATACTGTCCCATTTAATATTTACATCAAGTCTATGAAGTAGCTATTTTTGTTATATCTACATCTAAAATGTAGATATAAGGCTTTGAAAGATTTAATAATCAAAGTCAAATATTATTAAAGGTTCAATGTAGGAGTTAAACCATGTCAGTTTGGCTCATTTTCCACAGTGTGCCCCAGTGGAAGCCTGTCCCATCTCTGCACATCCCCAAAAGGCACAGCTATCTCAGAATTCTTTTGAGCAGGAAAAAATTTTAGGAAATAGGAACCAGGAATCCTAAAGTCAGAAAACGTGCCCCCAAATAATCCAGCAAGTTATAATTATATTTCTAATGATTAAAAGTTAAGGAAGTAAGCTCACTAATGATTTAAAACAACTCTACCAACAGAAACAAGATTGCTCGTTTTGAGCTAGAGACCTGGGGACTGCATTTTGGAAGTCAAATGTCTCTGACAGGCCGGGTTTTGCCTTCAGAAAAATTATTAATGCAAGACCACATAGTAAGTATCATGATTTTATTTCCATTTGAAATTATTTACTTGAGTATGTATAAGTTTGATCATTTACTAGAGTTATGGGGGCTTATGATATTTGATAAGTTTCTTGTTGGCCTTGTCCCTGCCCTCCCTTTGTCCTAAGACTCAAGTAAGCTCATCACTGATTTTCCTTCAGTATGAATTTACTTGCTTGGACTTAGTGGCACCCAACGGACATGATTTAAGTTTGTCAGAAAATGGTATTTCAAACCATTCTAATTAAAATTCACTCACATGACTTTTTTTTTAAGTGATCATTACCAGAGAAAATTCTATTATCTGGAGAAGGGTAACTCAAACAGATGATAGTTCTTATTATCAGAGTTTTAATAGACATGTCAGTTATACCTGTTAATCTTTCAAAGTAAAATGATGGGTTTTTGGCATTAAAAAAAAGTGAAGAAACACACAGACTGCATCCCCAGATGTGACACTTGGACAGAGGTGTGCTGAAACCCGAAGAGACAAATCTTTTGGGCTTCAGTTCAAGAAAAGAATCTATTATATGCAAAAATTGTATGTTATACTTCACTTTTCCCATTTTGCCCATTTTTAGAACCGGATGCAATTCAGTTCATTTAAAAAAGTCTCTCTTCTTTATTTGGTATAATAAACTCACATGTCTAAACTAAGTAACAAAACAATGAATGTTTCATGTTGGCAAGGTGGGGGATTGTTTTCATCATTTCCTTTTGATAATCTATCCAAATTGCCAAACCTTTATTGGAGAAGCTGAAGACAAAACTAATTTTCGAAGTAAAACAACCATTTTTAAACTGCTGTAATGTAGACTCCCTTCAGAGTCTTGGTCAGGAGTCAGTAAAGCTTCAATTTCAGATCCACATGTGAAACAGGACTTAGAATACTTAAAACAATCCTTCTCATCATCTTCATAAGTGAAGTCATATTTGCCAGAGCCCATGTGTGTGCATGCATGTGTGTGTGTATGTGAAGAGGGGGTCTCCTTAGGAGAAAAAGCATAAAAATGGAATTACCCATTCAATCCCTAGAGGTAGTAACTAGCTAGAGGTGACTATATCATCACTTCTGGCCAGCTCTTTCTGAAACTAGGTCCTAGGAACTGAGTGAAGTTCCAAAGGTCCAATTCCTGGATCCCAGTCTCCATAGGATGTCAGCAGGCAGTGTTGAGAGCAAGAGGGCTGTGGCTGTCTTCATATGAACAGGAACGAACCATTTATAGAGGACTAGCACCTCCCTCTTGTTCTCATGTTAAAGTCCCCTCCTGGAGCCAAGTCCCAGCTCACCCACCAAATGGCAAGGCATCACCAAGATGGTGGTGACTAGAAGTCACAGTGCTTGGTACAGGGTACCCTGGCTATAACATCAGGCCACCAGTGTACTAATCCTGTTACTGCTGCTAACTGGTTGGCTCAGCCACAGCTTTGAGTCTATCAAACAAAGCTATTGTGTTCCTTCTTAAACATTAGTGGTCTCATCTTTGCTTCCAAATGTAGCTACTCCTAGCACAATGTACAGTCTTAACTTCCTTTTAGGGCTTGTCAGTTTTCGTATGGTGATCTAGAGTATCAACAACCATCGTTTTCAATTTGAGATAGCAGAATGACTGAAATAAGGAAACAAAACTGGGTGAGCCACTTAGGATAAAGGTCAAAGATTCTTAGGGCTGGAAGAGAACCTTAGAGATCTTTGAATCAGAAACCATGCTCTGCACACAGCCAAGACCCATGAGTTCTTATTGCGGGTTCTGCACCTGGGTCCTGCAGACCTGGGATGATTCCTAGATGCCTCCACCCCCAGAAATAACACGTGTTCTGTTTAGATGTGTGGCGCACATGTCTGTTTTACTACTGTGAATAGCATATTGTCTTAAATTGCTCTGTTGTGACAATACTAGCCATCTTCTTACTATCTTTATTTGATTGCCCTTTGAATAAATTTGTTCAATCCTTTTATGCTCTTTGTTTTTCTCAGTGTCATCCTGTGTCTGCTGCTAATTGGTCCAAGGATATACGAACTTGCAAGATTTTAAGTGCACAGTGTTTGAATAAATGGCTAATTTTATGTAGTAACAGAGCTGAAAATGTGATCGAGGGCTTTCTGAACTGTTTGAGAAGAGTTGGAAGTTCCATGGGATTTAATGTGGGCTACCCTAAAATGTGAGAATACACTGATTTTTTTCATATATTAATTTGGTTTGGCTAGAAGGTAGGAAACAATGTCTAATATAACTACAAAAGCTTCATTTTAGTAATGTTTCCTAATACAGTGTGAAGAAGTTAATTATAAGACAATGGATTTTTTAATGATTAAATTATTTTGTAAAGCTAAAGTATATTTTATCTAGAGATACGTAAAACTTTGTTTTCACAGGTCTTCTTAGGCAAGTCTCATTATTCAAAATCTTCAAAATCTTATAAATCCTTAATAAGTCCATATTTTGCTTTTCAACTTCTTCCTTTTTCATATCAGTTATTTGTAAAACTTAATAACAAATAGGACATTAAAAATAAAATTTTATTACTTGATAGATTTTATGCCTCAAAATTTAACGTAAAAATAAGTCTAACTTTTTCTGATTCTGTCACTGTAATATAAGATTAGTCATTTATTTTCTGATGAAACCAAAGTCAGGGATTTATTCTTCGGCCATTTATCAAGAAGCTGTTGCACTAGATACTGTATAGGTGCTGGTAGTGAAACGATGAAGAAGTTACTCTAACTTAACAAGACATCTGTACGTATACAAGCATACTCAAAATGGAGTAGTTTCGCTTTAGAAAAGCCATAAAACTGGTCATGCCTGACTCTATGGAACTTGATATACTTATAAAGGACAATGGCTACTTCTTTTTCTTTGTTTTAGTGGAAGTACAAGTGTCATAATTGGCAGGGTGGGAAGTTAGTCTTTAAACATATGGTTACTAATTAATTACATCCACAGGACAAGTATTGAAAACCATAGCTATTCCCAAGGTCTCATTTTATACCACAGTTTAGTATTCTCTTATCAAATCTGTTAACAAACCACCTGGTTTGAGTTTCCCCTGCTCCAGTTTCTCTTAACCCATGAGCTCCGTACATTAGGAAAAGATGAGGAAAAAAGAGCAGTCTGCACATCTCAGCCTGGCATCACAGGCTTTTCCTTACAGTCATTCAGTGAACAAGTCCATGCTGTGTTGTGTCCTTGCCTTCTTTCATTTAAAAGCCCATTTTTTATTCCAGTCTTCTTTTTTATTCACATATTCTAGTTGTATAGGAGGAATACATTGTGACATTTACATATGTGCTTACAATATATCTTAGATTCACTCTCTGTTATTCTCCCTCATCCCCTCACCCCTTCTTAGAACATTATTAGCTGGTTTCTTTATTCTGTTTTCATACATTAATACAAAATACAGCCACCATATTCACCCTCTCTTTCTGTCCTCCCCCTTCTACTAGAACCCACCCCCCAGAAAGGACCTGTTTTACTTTCCTAGCCTTCATTTTTTAAAAAAGTGTATATTGATAATCCAAGGGGGCTCACCATGGAATTTCAGACATATATATATGGTGCTTTAATAATATTAAACCTCTTACTTACTCTCTCTGCTGCCCTGCTCCCCTATAATTCTCTAGCCTATGGTGCATTGCACTGAATTATCTCCATACACAGATGGCAGTGTTTCAGAATTTTCACTCTAACATTCTCTTTCTCTCTCCCACCTCATGCAGTCCCCTCACTGAGACCACCAATACAGTCATGGTCTCTCTCTCTCTCTGTGTATACGTAGATAAGATTATGTATGTATTTATGTGTATGTTTATCTTATAGGTGTAGCTTGCACAGATGAGGGAGAACATGCAACTTTTCACCTTTTGAGCCTGGCTTACTTTGCTTAAATGATGTTCTCCAATTTATTCCAGTCTTTATCTTACCTATAAAGTATCCACTTATGTTAGCTGCATATGCATAGCTTCTTTCATTTAAAACATTTTCCTGATGGTTTTAGATAGAAGGGACAGAGAAAGCGGCTGACTTGAAGTACAAGAATTTGAATTGAAAAAGTCAGAACCACCTAACAGCTGAAAAGTTCCTTCCGGCCATGTATGTAGCTATGTTGAAATCAGCAGTCGGGTTACCAGTCCTGCCACCTGCTGGGCAAGTTTTAAAAGGCCACTGAACATTGAGACAGTCCAATCATGTCCACATAAAAGAAGCTGATTGTGTACAAAGAAATTAGATTTTAAGCATAGGTGTGTGTGAATTGTTGCTGTGGTTTCTGGCCCATAGCACAATGGTGCACACTTGATAAGACTAGCTGATTGACTAAGGCTGGATATTCCAGGCTCCACACAAGCTACCAGTATGCTTAAAAACCAAAAGAACCCAAACAAAAACAATCCTTTCTTTTTCCTGAATTGCGCAGATGAATTTAACTCAAGCCTGATTTTATTTTAAAATTGTCACAGAGATTCAGTGCTAGAGAAATCATGGTGTGCTTTAACCTGAACCCTGTTTCAAACATTTGATAGTATGAGTTTTAATTTTCAAAGTTCACTTTCAACACAATTTTGAACGGAAATATTAAAGGAATTCTGTACAATTGAAAAAGTCATTTTTCATCAATACTGTGATAGTAAAAATGGTTAGTAAATATAACGTGTCTTGTACTGGGAGAAGCAATTTTAGACTCAAAAGAGTTTCATTTTTCTCTGATTTTTCCTAAATTTGCTATCTGTTATGTAGCATAAACGTACAAGAAAATCCAGCTGCCTTCCTTCGAGCCATTCAGCAACATGTGGATCCTGATGTTCAGTTGGTAAGTGTAGGATTTTTTTTTTGATTTTTGATGTTTTCTTTTATGTCTAAGCCTTAAAAGAAGGGCTCTGAATATACTATATCATTATATGTTTGCACTTCACTCAAAGCACCCAAAAAAGTATTAATACCAGTACTTTAATTGATTTTTTATCTTCCTGATCCTAACAATTTTTTGTTTTTGTTTTTTGGGGTTTTTTTGGCAGTACTGAGGCTTGAACTCAGGACCTTACACTTACTAGACTGGCTAGGCAGGTGTTCTACCACTTGAGCCACTTTTCCAGTCCCTCCAATCCTCACAGTTTTTATGAGTCTCTTTGAGGTCTACCTAATTTCCAATTTGGGGGGGTCATCTTTTACTTAAGATTTAAAAGCAACTGATTCCCATGTCATCCCATAACTGTCAAGATACCTGTATTCTCTTTAAATTTTAGGGGTCTCTTGGAGCATCTAGGTCACTCTTAGTTGTTCCAAGATCCTGATGCCTCTGAATTCTTCCCAGCTTTGTGTTTGTTTTATAAATGGCATTTCCTCCTGCCCCACACCTCCCTGTGGGACATCTGGAGTTGCCTTGTTTCCCAAAGTTGTTCGTGCAAGCGAGTGTGTGTGCAAGCCTGCCTGCATGCGTGTGTAGCTGACTTTGCAGACTGTTTGGAGCCAAGGCACTATTACATCGCACTCCACCTTTCCAGACAAGTTAAAATCGACATCCCTGAACCACTCCTGTTTCCTAGATAGCTTTACTCTTCCTCAGGCCTCTGCCTCCTCTGATACTGCATTGCTTTTCCTGCCTGCTCCATTTCCCGTTCTCACTCCCTAGTTCACTCAGCCCAACTCCCAGCAAGTCTGCTCATATCTCATGCAAACTGGTACTTTTCTTTTAGTTAGACACAAAAATATTCGAAGGAAGGTATATTAAATAAAGAGCATTCTCACCCTAAAAGCATGTATTTTTTACTTGAATTGAAATAAAACTTTCAGAAAAGTTGTAAGAATATACAGAGATCTTTAGCTATGTGTCAGGGAGATTAAAGAGGGTACACTCTACCCTTCCCAGAATCCCTGACATTTTGCCATATTTGCTTTATTACTTGCTTTTTTTTTTTTTTTTGCCTGAACCATTTGAGAGTAAGTTACACACATGATAGCCATTACTCTTGAATAGTTTGGTGAATATTTCCTATAAATGAGGTCACTGTCCTGTGGAGCCATAGAACAACCAACTAAGTATAAGAGGAAGAGCTAGTGAGAGGAGAATTTGAGGAGACAAACAATCAATTTAGGAGAGAAATAGGGAGGAAGGAAAAGCCAAGGGAGATGAGGCTTTGCAGAACAAAAAGGCGAGTGGCATTGATTACTCTGTCAGTGGCTTAAAGGCCACTTAAGAGAATTGTAGGCATGTTTATGTTTGCTTCTTGGCAACAAAGGAGCAAAGGATGTTTAGAGAACCATGCATGCGTTTTGTTTTCAAAAAGCTATTCCCAAACATAAGTAAACCCATTTTATCTTATGTTGTTGTTTTGCCTTTAGGTGATGTGCATTCTGCCTTCTAATCAGAAGAACTATTATGACTCCATTAAGAAGTATTTAAGCTCTGACTGCCCAGTTCCAAGCCAGTGTGTGCTCACTCGGACCTTGAGTCGGCCAGGAATGGTGATGAGCATCAGCACCAAGATTGCCATGCAAATGGCCTGCAAACTTGGAGGCGAGCTGTGGGCTGTAGAGATACCTGTGAGGACTCTTGACAGTTTTCCCTTTCATGAGCAATCAGGCAATTAATTTCTAAATCAGGTTGTGAGATACTATCAAAAGATTACAGAACTAGGGTCATCCTTTTGACATCGTTGGGAGGTTGACTCCATGACTCCCTGAGGATACCAAAATTTGCAGACCTAGTCTCATATATGAAATGCTGTGGTGTTTGCCTAGAACCTACTCTCATCCTCTTGCATACTTTGAGCCATCTCTAGATTCCCCACAAAAGCTAATACAATGTAAATATGAAAGCTGTGGATATGGAGGAGCTTTGCTAAGCTCACCCTGCAAGGTATTCCCAAAGAAGCCAAAGTATAGCCCCTGTTCTCAAGGAGTTCTGTTCAGCTACTAACCTATACTAGTTCATTAAAGAGAGTCCAGCCCATCATAGGCTTGGGGAGGGGACTTGATTTGGATCCTCCCAGCTGCTATTTTAGCTTTCAACAGAGTACTACCTCTCAGAGTAGCCTTGCACTTTATATGGGGGCTCCCCCGAACTTGAAGCAATGGCATAGTCAATGATGTGAATCTCACAGCTTGGGTAGGAACTGATAAAATCCTCTGGTTTCCTGAACTGTAGCCACTGCAGAAGGAAGAGAGGAAAATGAGAAATGGGAAATCCAGCCCATTTCCTGGCACTTCCATAACTATGAGGATGAATTGTTATGCGCCCCACTCCCCATCCCCGGCCTGGTGCATAGCTAGTAAAAATTCCTTAGCAATCCAAAGGACAGGAATGCAGTTTCTCTCCAGAATCCTTCAGACCAGAGGCAAAGGGTAGATGGACTAACTACTTTCCTAACATCTCTTCAGCCACTGATGTCCCTTGCTCACTTCCATGGAAGGTTAGGGTAATTTTGCAAAATATGTATTATACTCTTCCCTACATCTTTAATTCTGTGGTTTCTGATTTAATCATCAGCCTGATCTGGACATTGATCTCCCTGACACATAGCTTAACTTAAAATTTTTACTAACTGAAAACAATTTTTAAATGCCACATCGATCATTGTTTGGGGAAATACTTCATCCCATTAAATAATGACAAATTTAATTTTATAGTTAAAGTCTCTGATGGTAGTTGGTATTGATATCTGCAAAGATGCTCTCAGCAAGGAAGTGTTGGTGGTTGGATTCGTGGCCAGTGTGAACCCCAGAATCACCAGGTACTTTTACAATTACCCTAAAATATTCTTCAATTAGATCCTTTTACTTTTTGTTGTTTTGTTTTGAGTTTTGAGGCAGGATCTCACTTTGTAGCTCAACCTGCCCTCAAACTCCTTATGTAGTCCAAGTTGATTTTAATGGTCATAAATCATACTTACATATAAAAATGTGTTTGATCATATTGGGGTAATATGTGGCCTCATTAAAAAATTTTATACATTAATTGAGGCAAGCTATTTCTTGTAGTTCAGTCATGTTCCACAAATTTTGGATGTGTGGGAATTCTTAGGCATTTATTTTCTAAATGTACCGTCCCAGGCAGTGTACTAAGTGCTTTAAATATATTATGTCAGGCAGCTGAGCTTTGCAATCAGATTGCCTAGCATTATATCCTGTTCTGCCACTTATTCTGCAGTGGAGGCCTGCTGAACTAACTTTGCTGTGCCTCTCCTGGCTATCTGTAAAGTAGTGCCATATCAGAAGGCACTTATGGGAGGTGCATGAGGCAAAGTGCCCAGAGCATTGCCACCCATAGCAGGTGTTCAGTATCTGCTTGCTGTTACTGTTACCATTACTAATACTCACAAGCACTTGATGTGGTGGTTTTTCACACAGATATTAAAACTGTAGGCAAAATTATGCATAGTATCTTAAACAGTGGCTTATGGTATTCCTTAAATTGTACTTCTTAGAATTGCTTCAGTATTTGTAACTAATATATTTTGAGATTGTCGCAGCTGCCTATGAGATGTTTTCTTCCTGGCTCGAGGTATTTGATTTATTTCATTAAATTAGTGTCAGGTGTCTATTTGGGATTGTGGGAGACAGGAAATGTAACACCATGCTTGCGTGGTTACAACTCATCTCAGGCTGTGTAGAATTTATTTTCACAAATAAAGTAGGAAGTCACTTTAGTTTTTTCTCAAATAGTTGCCATTTATGAGAAAATTTCCTGTTAATGTTTTTCTCCAGTTTATTGAAGTATAACTGATGTATAATAATTGCATATATTTACGTTATGATACATGTACCAAATTAGCAAACACATCACCTCACAGTTACCTCTGTGTGTGTGAGTGTGTGTGTGTGTGTGTGTGTGTGTGTGTGTGTGTAAGAGAGAGAAAGAGAGAAAGAGAGAGGGTTTGGTCAGAATACTTGAAGATCTACTGTTTCCCTCAATTTCGTGACTCTCAGGTTCATCATGTCATTGTTAATGGCAGGAGTTCCTTCTTTGGAGGCTGAATAATATTCTGTTGCATGTACATATCACAGTTTCTGCATCCATTTATCCATCAACAGAGACTTAAGTTGATTACATATCTCAGTGCCATGAGGGTCTAGGTATTACTTTGGAATGTAGATTTCAGTTCACCTAGATATATGCCTAGGAGTGGGATTGCTGGATCATATGGAGTGCCATTTTAAATTTTTTGAGAGACCAATTGGATCCTTTAATGGTTGTGCCAGTACACATCCCCACAGCTATGTATAGGGTTCCCTTCTCTTCCCCAGTACTTGCTGCCTTTTACCTTTTTATAATATCCATCCTAACCAATGTGAGGTAATGTCTCACTACACTTGTGATTAGTGTTTGTCTAACAGTTAGTGGTGATGAACGCTTTTTATATATCTGGTAGGCATGTAGCCATTTGTATGTCTTTGGAAAAATGTATATTCAGGTCATTTCTCCATTTTCATAATTGTGGTATATTTCCTGTCTGTCAGATATTTGATTTTTAAATATTTTCTCCCACTCTGTAAGCTGGTGTTTCATTTTGCTGATTAATTACTTTGCTGTGCAGAAACTTTTTAGTTTGGTGTATTCCCACTTGTTCATATTGTTGTCTATACTTTTCACGTGATACACAAAACCAATCATTGACAGGCCAATGTTATGGACTTTCCCCTCTAGTAAAAGGATCTAATTTCTTTGTTTGTTTTGGTTTTTGTTATTGTTTATTTGTCCCTTTTTTTTTTTGCATGTAGATACCCAGTTTTCCAAGAATAATTTATTGAAAGGCTTTCTTTTTCTCATTGCATTCTTGGTGCTTTTCTCAAAGGTGAGCTTGGTGATATAATTTGAAGTCAGGAAGTGTGGTGCCTCTGCCTTTATTCTTCTGTTTAAGATTGCTGTAGTTATTTAGGGTCTTTTATGGCTTCGTACAAATTTTGGGATTTTTTTTTCTATTGCTGTAAAAAATGCCATTGGAATATTAGTAGGGATTGCATTGAATTTGTGGATCACTTTGAGACGCATGAACATTTCGGCAATATTAATTCCGCCAGTCCATAAATATGGGATATCTTTCCATTTATCTATGGTAGCTTCAATTTTTTTCAGCAGTGTTTTATAGTTTTAAAAGTATTCTTTAGTGTGTTACGTTTTTGATGTTATCATAAATAAGATTTTTCTTAATTTCTTTTAAGGATTCTTTTAAGGATAGTTTGTTGTTAGTGTATAGAAATACAAGTGACTTTTGGATGTTAATTTTGTATCCTGCAATTTTACTGAATTTATTAGTTTTAACAGTTTTTTGGTAGAGTTTTGGGGGGTTATCTGTAAAAAGATCATCTTTGTCAATTTGGATGCCTTTTATTTATTTCTTTTGTCTAGATTCTCTGGCTAAGACTTCCAGCACTCTATTGGTGTGATAGAAGTGGACATCCTTGCCTTGTCTCTAAAGCTTTCTGCTTTTCACTCTTAAGTATGATATTAACTGAGGCTTTTCAGGTGTGTATATTGTGCTGAGATACACTCTTTCTGTGCCTGATTTATTGAGAGTCTGTGAGGTGAAAGGATGTTGATGCTTTGTCTGCCTCTACTGAAATGATTATGTGATTTGTCCCTCGTGTTGTTAGTGTATCACGTTTATTGACTTGCCTGTGTTGAACCATCCTTGCTTTCCACGTATGTGATCCTTTTAATCTGTTACTATATTTGGTTGGTGGCCTTTTTTGGAGACTTTTTATATATCTATTTATTCATGGATGTTGACATATCATTTTCTTAAAGTCTCTGTCTGGCTTTGATAACAAGGTAATGGCCTCATAAAATAAATTTAGGGTTCCTTTCTCTTCAGATTTTTGGAAGAGTTTGAGAAGAATTAATGTTATTTTTTCTGTGAACATTTGGTAGAATGTAACAGTGAGGCCGTCACATTTTGGGTTTTCCTTTATTGGAAGTTTATTATTATTATTATTATTATTATTATTATTAATTCAACCTCCTTTCTCATTACTGGTATGTTCAGATTTTCTATTTCTTTATGATCCAATCTTGCTAAGAATTTATCCATTTCTTATAGGTTATTCAATTTTTGGGCAACTAATTGTTCATGGTCATATGTATATAATCCTTTGAGTTGTGCAGTGTTTCATTTAAAGACAGTATTTGCCAGTACTGGGGTTTGAACTCATGGCTTTGAGCTTGCTAGGCAAGCCCTCTGCCACTTGAGCCATGCCTCCAGTCTATAATCCTTTGAGTTTCTGTAGTCTCAGTTGTGATGTCTCTGGTTTTATTTACCTGAATCTTCCCTCTTTATCCAGAGTTTTATCAGTTTATCTTTTCAAAAAAAACTAAACCACCCTGTTGATCGTTTAGTGGTTTTTAGTCTCCATTTTATTTATGTCTACTCTGATTATTGTTACCTTCCTCATTTTCTTAACCTTGGGCTTAGTTTGTCATTTTGTACATCCTTGAGGTATAAAGTTAGATTGTTTACAAGCCTTATTTTTCCTCATGTGGGAATTCATCTCTACAAACTTCCCTGTTAGGACAGCTTTTATGGCATCATGGGACTTTTGGTATGTTCTGTCTTTGTTTTCATTTTTTAAGATACATTTTAATTTCTTTATTTCTCCTTTGACACATTGGTAGTTCTGGTATATTCTATCTAATCTCCACACATTTGTTATCTTTCCAGTTTTCTTGTTTTGACTTAATTTCATGTTATTATGATCAGGAGAGATGCTTGATGTGATTTCAGTCTGCTTAATTTTTTTATGGCTTACTATTACTTGTCCTGAAGAGTGTTTCATTTACCCTTGAGAAGGAGGTGTATTCTACTGCTGTTTGGATAATATTTTGTAAACGTCTATTAAATCCTGTTGTTATAAACTACAATCCAATTCCAATGTTTCTTAATGATTTTCCATCAATCTGTCAATTGATAGAAGTGGTTTATTAAAAATCCCCCATTACTTGCCAGGTGCCAGTGGCTCATGCCTGTAATCCTAGCTACTCAGGAGGCAGAGATCATTGTTTGAAGCCAGCCCCAGGCAAATAGTTCTTGACATCCTATCTCTAAAAACCCATTACAAAAAAGAGCTGGTAGAGTGGCCTTGCTAGGCATGTCTGCCTAACAAGTGTGAGGCCCTGAGTTCAAATCCCAGTGTTGCAAAAACAAAAACCAAAAAAGAGAAGTCCTCTATTGCCCTTATTGTATTCCTATGTATTTATCCCTTCAGATCTTTTAATGTTTGCTTAATATGCTTAGGTACTGTGACGTTGGTGCATATATGTGTACAATTGGGTCTTCCCCTTGGTGGACTAAACTCTTTATCATATACAATGACTGTCTTTATGTCATGTTAGGTTTTCTTTTAAAGCATATCTTATCTGATGTAAATATAGCTATACCTGCACTCTTTCTGGTTGCATTTTTCATGGAACATTTTCTTTCATCCCTTCACTTTCAGTTTGTGTGTGTCCTTAAAGCTGAAGTCTCTGGGAGGCATCATTTAGTTGGTCATACTTTTTATCTGTATAGCCATTTGTGATTTTTGATTGGAGAATTTAATCCATTGACTTTCAAAAGAATTTTTTTTTTTGGTGGGACTGGGATTTTATGGCTTGAGCCACACCTCCAGCCCCATTTGAAATAATTTTTGATAGGTTAAGGGACATACAATTGCCATTTTCTTCATTGTTTTCTGGATGTTTTGTAGGTCTTTTGTGTCTTTATTTCTCTCGGTATCTTCCTTTGTTATTTGATTTTTTTGTAGTGATACGCTTTGATTTCCACTGGTTTGAATCTAAAAATGTCTCCTGAAGGCTCATGTAAAGGTTTGGTTATCAGCTGCTGCTTTTGAGAGGTGAGGACGCTAACTGCATCAATGGATTAATCAACTGATGAATCTGTAACTGGATGGACTAGTAGGAGGTGGGACCTATTTGGAGGGTAGGTCACTTGGGAGCATGCCTTTAAAAGGTATATCTTGGCCCTAGACCCTTTCTATCCATCTCTCTGTTTCCTGGGTGCCACAAGGCAGCACCTTTCCTCTGCCATGCTTGTTCACCATGGTGCTTTGCCTTGTCACACATGGGCGCAGAAGCAATGGAACCAAGTGACCATGGTCTGACTCCTTTCCTCCTTTAAGCTGTTTTCTCAAGTATTTTGTCTTTGTGTAGCTACTGTAGGTTTTTGCTTTGTGGTTACCATAAGGCTTACCTGAAACATAGTTTTATGTAACAACTGAACTTCCACCGCACATAAAAACACTTCACTTCACTCCCTTTTGCCATGCCTTTAGATTTTGGTGTCACAATTTACATTTTCTTGTGTATCCATTAACAACATATTGTAGCTACAGTTAATTAAATTCTTTTTTACTTTAACTTTATACTAGAGCAATAAGTGATTTATGTATGAACATTACAGTATTAGAGAATTATGAATTTGACTATATGCTTACCATTAGCAGTGAGTTTTATACTTTCATATGTTCATGTTACTAATTTAGCATCCTTTCATTTCATCCTGAGGAGCTACCTGTAATATGTCTGGTAAGACAGGTCTAGTGGTGGTGAGCTCCCTCAGCTTTGTGTGGGAAAGTCTTTACTTTTGAAGGACAGCTTTGCTGGTAAAATATTTGTTCAAGAGGTTGTCTTCCCATCATTCCACTGCCTGAACTAAATGTTTTTTCTGAGAAATCTTCTCATATCTGAGGATTGCGTTATATAAGATAAGTCAGCCTCTTTTCATCCTATATGTGAAATTCTGCCTTTGATTTTTAAGTTTGTTTATAAGGTGTCTTGGGAGTTGTTTTTTGGGTTGAGACTATTTTGAGGACTTTTGACCTTCAAGTAGGTGGATGTCCTGTCACTTCCTAGATTTGGGAAGTTTTCAATCATTATTTCTTCAAATAAACTTCCTGTCCCTTCTCTCCTCTTTGTGAAATTCCCAAAATGTGAATTTTAGCCTTTTTTATGGCATCCTGTAAATCCCATAAGCTTTCTTTATTAACTTTTATTTTTAAAAATTTTTTCCTCTGAATTTTCTTCATTTAAAAATCTTTTCTTCTTCTTCTGAGAATAGACTCTTCTACTTGATCAGTCATGCTATCTGTTGCATTTTTCATTTCATTTATTGTATGTGTTCACTGTAGACTATAACTTGGTTCTCTGGTGATTTCTCTCTTTACTGATGTTCTCCTTGTGATGTCATTGCATAGTCTATCTGTGTTCTCTTGTAGCTACCTGAGTTCCTGTACAACACTGCTTTTGTATTCTTCCTCAGGCAACTCACACATTTCCATTTCTCTGGGGTTGGTACTGGAATATTATTGAGTACCTTTGGTGCTAGCTATCATGTTTCCTTGAAATCCTGCCTTCCTGTCTTCATATATGAGAAATTAGTCACATCTTCAGTCTTTACTGACTGGCTTTGGGAGAGAAATGCCTTCACTAGTCATCCTGGCCAGGCATTCTAGGACTCTCAGACCTCCTCTATGGATGTGTCTGTGCTGGACCTCTTACTCCTTCTTAGGACAGTCTTAAGTTCTGTACCTTCTCTCAATCTCACAAAGGCCAGATACTGAAGGCCTCCCTTTTGTCTTTCATGGAGTGGTACCCACAAATGCTCACATTTCTGTCGAGTCAAGTCAGCTGTCTACACAAGACACTTACTCTCACTGTCTGGGAGTGTGCTTGGGGGGCCAGCTTGGAGTTGATGGTGAGATGTGTGGAGCATTAGGGGTGCCTGTGGGCCAGTTGTGAGTGGGCTTCGGGCAAGGTATCCTAAGCAGGTCTTGGATGGCCTTCCTGATTGAGATAATGGAGCAGTTGTATGGTCTGAACTGCTCTTACTTTCTCTTACAATCTCCCAGCTGTTCAGCTCAGTGTTCTGGGCAGCATCCCACAAGGCTGGAGGAGCTCAGGTGTCCACTCTCTACATGATCACATTCCCCATGGAAGAAACCATAGACCAAGGGATCTCTCTTGGCATTGTACTATGTTGCCTTCGGGGAGGGATGATGTAAGTAAAGTGAATCTATTCCTCTTTCCCTTCAATGCATCTACTTACAGACTTTTACTGCAGCAATGTGCTGTTGGAACTTCTCCATCAGACTTGTGACTCACACTGAGGTACTGTCATCTATGGGTAGTTATTAAAAATCTCTCTCTCTCCCCGCCCCCCCTCGTGTGTGTGTGTACATGTGCATGTGTGTTTAGGAGGGAATGTTAGAAAGCTCCTGTTCTATCATCTTGGTTATGTCACTAAGGACTTTCAATTTGATAGCAACATTCCTAATTGTAACTATTGTTATATAAATTTAGAGAACTATAATAATCTTGGCACACCATGTTAGTCAGTTTATGTTGTGAGAAAATACCTTAGGACAACAACTTACAGGAGGAAAGATTTATTTTGGCTCATGGTTTCAGAGGGTTCAGTCCATGGTGGTTTGGCCTGATTGCTTTAGCCTGAGCTGAAGCTGAACACCATGGAAGAGAGGATTGGTGCAACAGAGTTGCTCATTTCATGGCAGCCAGGAAGGAAAGTGAGGGACAGACCAACAGACAAGATACAACCTTTAAAGACATTTCCCTAGTGACCACTTTATCCAATAAGGACCCACTTCAGAATTGCCCATTCAGTGGATTAATTCATTGATGAATTTAGTGCCAATTTAGTGAGTAGGTGATCCAATCACCTTTCAGTAGCTCTCCCAGCTGGATACTAAGCCTTCAACACATGGCCTTCATATCCAGCTGAAACACATTCTGTCATACTCTTTATCCTCAAGTGCTTCTAATTTATGATTTTTATCAAGAGAACTTCTGAAATCTAGATAAGTGAATCATATTAAGATGGTTATGTTCAAAATAATTACCTGCAGAAATGGAAGTTCATACTTGGAAAGTCCTTGAGTATTTTGGAAGTATAATCTACTGTTAAACTAATATATTCTCTGATAATAAATAGTAATAATGATATCATGATCTCTACTACTGTTTACTATATACGAAGTGCTGCTGAAAGCATTTTACATATTTTATTGCATTTAATTTTTGTCACAGACCTAAGAGGTAGTAACTACATTACTGTCTTACAGATCTCATTAGTACAGCTGAGGAAACTGCAACTTAGATTCACATAGCTGCCTAGTGTACTGTCCAGGATTTGAACTCTGATATCAACATATGCTTTAGTTTTAATTAACAATAAATTTATTCTATATTGGGGTACTTCTTAATATAATTATGAGCACATAGTATATATGATTCTGAATATTGATTTTTAAACATAATATTTATTTCTTAATTTAATATTAATGCACATTTCTATTAGAAATTTTCAGATTGAACTTTACTTTTATCTTTTGCTTATTTTAGGTGGTTTTCCCGCTGTATCCTTCAGAGAACAACAACTGATATTGCAGATTGCTTAAAAATCTTCATGACTGGTACTAAAAATATAGCAATATGGGTGGGCTCCCAAGGACTGTTCTTCTGACTCCAAATCTACATATTTATAGCAGACCAGATGGGTGGAAGCAAACTTCCTAATAAGCCTATCAACTCTTACCCAGGTGGAGATCCCCAAATTTGTGTGCAGACTCCCACAGGGTAATAGTCAGACTATGTAGCATTTACATTTGACTGTGTGTGGTTAAAAAAAATCCTAGAGGGAGGAAAGTTTGTAGCTGCTGGTGGCCCTGGCAAGCAGTTTGAAGGCCAAAGAGACCTACTCTGGTGAAATGAGCATTATGACATAGCAGTGTTAAGTCTAGACAAAGGAGATGGACCTCGGGCTCAAAGATAGGAACACTAAAGGCAAAGTGTTGTGTAGCAGAAGAAGATGGGAGAGATGGCAAGTGAGAAGGAGGCCCTCTTCACTGTGGGGTGCAGTGCAAAGACAGAGCAAGGGCTTCAGCTTCGTGACTTGTCCTGGCCAGGTCAGGCTTTGCTCTTGTTCCCTAGCAATTTGACACATGCAAATTCCCTCTCTTCCAGTCTGCATTTTCCAATCTGTCAACCTTAGGGGAATTATAATTGTTTAAAAGTGAACTTAGTGATCTATATTGATAATAGTCTTAGATATACAATTATCCTCTATCAAACTGAAATGAATTTCCTACATAATAAACTCTTCTAAAAACAAATCATGCAATAGATGCATGGAAAGAATTGTTGCATCTTCTTATTACTTCTCTTCATTTCAAAACCTGGTAAATTTCTTTGAGCAGTTATTAAAATTTTCTCTTGTGTAGGAGAAACTGCCTACTCATAGGCAGTTTCTAGTTAAGAGTGGATAGAAATGTTTTCAGAATTCATATTACCAGTGAGAATTAGAATCAAATTAGGTGACTTGTAAAGAGCTGTTTCTAAAGGAATGGGAAAGTAATTTCCTTATATTTTCATATTTATTCTCATTAGGGAAGAAAATGATACAAACTTAGCTAGGTCTGTATTTATCAGGAGGACTTGGAGAAGCTAAATTAGTATTAATTTGGTTTTAGGCGCTTATCTGTTGCAGGAATTAAATTTTGATTTGTTGTTTAAATATTAACATTTAAATAAAGGTACATGCTAAATTTAAGAATAAATTATGCCATAGGAACTATGATTGCTCAAATAGTAGGATTAAAGGATGCTGCTAAGGTTGTCTGTTTTATATTATTGCAAATACAACCTAAATTAGGTATTACCTTATTTTACTATGGTCTGAAACTGCAAAGTTTTTTCAACATTGAAATATAAGGGGATGTTAGTTTTCTTGTCATTGGACTAGTCTTTCTTTTCTCATTAACACCAACTTCTGCAGGAGCACTCAAAAAATGGTACAAGCACAACCATGATTTGCCAGCACGGATCCTTGTGTATCGCGATGGTGTCGGGGATGGTCAGCTAAGAGCGGTTATTGAATATGAAGTCCCACAACTGCTGAGCAGCGTCACAGAATCCAGCTCAAGTACCAGGTGTTAAGTTGTTGCTCTTTCTCTGACATTCCCACAATATAGCACTTCAGCTGCAGCTGTGAAACACAAAGCATGAAAAGATAACTTTTATTTTTTTATGCAATGAAGTATTGCTGTGTTTTTCCATCACGTCCATCTATGGATTTTCCTTAGAAGGAAGGGTAGTGGTGGTGACCTAACAGAAACAGCTGATCAAGTAAGCTATGGGGGTCCCAGGTGAGTCACCTAGAGAAGGCAGGCATTTTGCAAAGCAGCTGCCATAGACTCATGGGAAGTCTGCAGGGCTCCTGTCAAGTGAAGGGGCTTTATGCACATTAATGTACCATGAAATAAACCAAGCTGTGCTTTCAGATTTGAGGTCTGAATCAGCACACAGGGCTGAGGTCTTTGGATTAACATGCAGTCAGGGTGCATCATGAAAGATGGAAATCAGATCATCTTGAACACAAAGCACCCTGCTACCTTGGTGCATTTCTAGATTCCAGGTTTCAGAACAAAATTTTCTTCACTGACTACATGAGGTGGTAAACACAAGAAAAACACTAGAAATGGAAAATGAGGGAAGACAGTAATCTCAAGGTGCCACCTCTGAATTTTCAAAAAGCATCTTATTTCCAAGCAGTGCACAGAGTACTGTATGGTTATACCACCATCACCACCATCAACCAAAGCTTCAAGGTCATGAGTCACAGAGCACTGAGTATCGACCTCAGGCAGTCACTGCTAGAGAGGAGGAAAAGGTTAATAGTTTGCCGGCATTCACATCCAAACCGTTAGAGGCAAAATCTCCCTCCCCACAACCTCAGGCAAATTATTGAAAATAAAAACACGTAAGAAGGGAAGCAGGGTAAGTTCAACAGCCGATGAGGCCCAGGAAGTTACTTTTCTTGCCCTAAAATATCAATTTTTAAAAGTTCTAGTGTTGAAAACATTCACAATAAATTTTCAAATTACAGAACAAGCAGAAAGCTGTGTAGATTGGTTTCAGTTCTCTCCTCATTTTTTGCTGCAGACTATCCGTGATTGTGGTCAGGAAGAGGTGCATGCCGCGATTCTTCACAGAAATGGACCACACGCTGCAGAACCCCCCACTTGGCACCATCGTGGACTCAGAAGCCACACGCTCTGAGTGGCAAGTGCAATTGGGAAATCAGCTTTGGTGGCTTTCGGTATGTGGTGTTTCGGTTTGGCCTTACTTATGCTGTGCTCCTCTTCAGGTACGACTTTTACTTGATCAGCCAAACCGCCTGTCGGGGAACTGTTAGTCCCACCTACTATAATGTCATCTATGATGACAACGGCTTGAAGCCTGACCACATGCAGAGGCTAACATTCAAGTTGTGCCATCTGTACTACAACTGGCAGGTGAGTGAAGGTTGTTTACTGAGCAAACATGGCACTCCCTTGTTCCCCCAGCTTGTCTGCGTACTCCTAGGCTTGGCACAAAGCTGACTTTTTATAGGGAGGAGGGAATGCATGGCTTCTGAAGTTCATAGCAGGGAAAACAAAGTAGCAGTAACTGTTACAATATATCCATCCTGACTTTCTGAGGGACTTCATCATTTGCACTATCTCAGGCAGGCCTGGGAGGAAATCAGGGTTTTATTAATTCATGTTACAGATGAGGAAGCTGAAGCTCACACAGATGTGCCTGGAGGAAAGTGTCAATGGCCGTGGGTCTGTTCTGTGTTCCTGTGTACTGGGCCACCAGCTGTTCTCAAAGTCCAAGGCCAGCGTTTGCTCTGAGCCTTTAGAGGCATGAGGTCACAGGAAACTCAGATTAGGTCTAAACTTAATGTCTTCCAGCTTCTATACCATGAAGCAAACTGGCCCTCTGCCACCTTACCACTGAGCTTAAGTTCCCAGTGAGAGAGGTTTGCCCTTTGCTGGTTGTTTTTTAATTACTGTTCACCTAAAATCACATTCTATTGTACAAGTAACCAAGAGGTGAAAAAATTCATAAAGAATGAAATTGGTTTTAGAACAAGTTACCTCTTAATTATCTTCCTTACTTTCCCTCCTCAGGGTTTAATCAGTATCCCAGCACCATGTCAGTATGCACACAAGCTGACCTTTCTGGTGGCACAAAGCATTCATAAGGAACCAAGTTTGGAGTTAGCTAATTATCTCTTCTACCTGTGATGCAGCAACCATTCGCACCGCCAGAGGAAGAATCTAAGGAGTCGTTGGTATACTTCACTCAAATCTGCCAAAAGTTCATGGCTGTCATTGGGAAAGGGGTTCGAGTTTAGCTTTAGCTTCTGGGGAAAAAACACCCAAACATCTTAATCTGAAAAAGTTCAAAAGAAATATATGATACTTTATTTTTTAAGTTATAAGCTTGGGGTAAATTCTCAGTGTGCTATGTGGAATTAAAATATACCATCGACTAAAAGAATCCCACAAAGTTAAGTATCTTCTAAGATAATAAATGTTTGTTTGCATGGGGTTTTTTTGACGGTAGATATGTAGAGTCTAATCCCACTCTGAATTTTTCAGAGGTTTTCTTAAATACTGTTGTAGAGCATCTTGTGGAGTGTTTTAAATAATTATTAGAAAATAAAGAACATTCAGAGTATCATACAACATTTACTGTTATTTGAATTTTAAGTCAGCATTACATGTGAACCCCGTTATTGAAGTAGTTTTAGACCACGTCACCGTCAATCTTTGTTATATTACTGAAACTGAACTTGGTGTTGTTAGGGAACATTATTTCATGCGACCACCCTCAGAGAAAGCAGAAGCTTGTCTACCTTCACCTGAGTTAATTGTGTCCATACACTCAGCCTCTGCCCTTGTCAATACACCACGTCTCTCCTCCTCCTCTGCACTAAATCCCATTCCCCGTGAACTATGAAGATGCTGCTCTTAAGATTCTTTCCTTTCTTTTTTGCATCATCAGTTTTTCTTGTGCTAACCCCTTCCATTGATGTCACAAGTATGTTGTTATTTCTCCCCTCTTAAAAAAAGAAATAATTTATCTCTCTAGTTACTGCCTCATTTCTTAGCTCCTCTTCATAGAAAAATGTCTCAAAAGAACAATCTATGCTTAATGCATCTAGTTCCTACTGAAATTTGAATTTCATCCCAATCACATCAAAATTGCTTAGACAAGGTCACCAATGACCTCCACTTTGCTAAATGTGCTAGTCTATTGTCAGTCCTTGTTTTACCCATCCCAGCATTTGACCCAGGTGATCTTTTCCTCCATCAGAAACACTCTTCACCTCACTTCTGGAATAATACCCTCTCCTGGTTTTTCTCTACTGCATTGATCACTCATTCTCACTCTCCTGTGCTGTCCTCTTCTCATTCTTTCCATGTTAGAATGTCTAGGAAATGACATGGCTATGTGCAAAAGATATTTTGATGAAGGAAAAATCAGAGCTCCAAATTCTTCCTGCAGGTGAAAGGTAATGTGGAAGGTTGCAGTGAGCAGGCCATGGGGAGAAGGGCAGGTCCTTCCTGAGGAACAGGGAAGAGCAGATCACCAGAGGCACACCATTGCTGCAGTCCTGTCAGATTATACTGGAAACATTATTTTGGGGTGAATATGATGAAAGCACACTATGTGCATGCAGGAAAATATCACAAAGAACCCCCCCTGTACACTTAACATGCGCTAGTAAAAAGCAACAGTCACCCAGATAGAAAAGCACCAAACATGGGTCCACTTCAGAAATAGTAGTGATAACCATTGTGGGGCATGAGGGTAGAGAGGGGAGTTCCTAGCACAGTGCCAGGCACTTTGCATGCACAGTTGACATCCACAACAACTGTTTGAGTTAGGCAGCAATGACCACGTTTCAGGTGATAAGGCTAAGGACTGAGGATGTGATGTAATTTGCCCGAGTTGATGAGATTAACAAATTGTGGAGCTAGAGTGTGTCTTTCTGCTCATTTGACAGCAAAACCTGTGAGAGGAACCACAAGACTCCATTGCCTTAATAAAAGGTACTGCAAGATTTGGAACATTTCTCCCAGAGTTCTTCTGTAAAGGAGTGCCTTATGTGAAGAAGTAGGTGGGCATTGCGTAGGAAGTGTTTGAAGACATGGCCCTGCTCTTGGACAGGGATGTCGTCTTTAGAGATTTGTGTAAATCTACATGCAGTGTTCTGATTAGGCAATAAAGATCTGTAGAGTAACCCACTGGTACCCAACAAGCATTGCCCATGCAGTGACTACATACCATCCTAACCCACCAGGGGGCGCATGAGGCTTGTCCTCTGAGCAGAGCTCATCTTTGCTGTGTTGAGTGGTGCAGTAGCTGGAGAGTGAGCTTCAAATAAACTCAGTTGAGAAATCTTTGTTGGTGCTCAGGTTCCAACACATTTAGCTGTTGGATGGGGATTCCTCCCCTGTGACCCAAGTAACTGAGTGGGGTTGGAATGGACTACAGGTGCTCAGCCTTGGAAACAGAACTTTCCACATTGAAAAGTTCTGCAGGTGGTTCTGACCGTCCAGCCAGGGGTGAGACAGCTGGTCTAAATGATATCTAAGGGCCAGCTCTCAGGTTACACAATTGCCTTCCTCCTCTGTATTAATTAGCTTTCTTTATTAAAGTGACCACGGACAGAAAGGAGAGGAAGCATGAGACAGGCTTCAGAACAGCACTGGGTTTGAATCCTAGAACCACCACTCAGTAGCTGTGAGATCTTGGGCAAGTTACTTAACCACTCTGAGACTCACTGTAGCTACTTGTAAACATTCCTAACAATGTCCACGTTGTAGAGTTATTGTAGGGATTGGAAATGTCAAACCTAAAGGACATGGCCTTAATAAAGACAGTCATATTATTGGGCCTGATGAGAGGAAAAGAGATAGCAAAATTCAGTCAACAAATAGTGAAGGGTATATATTTTTTGCCAGGTTCTGTAACGGATTCTGAATTCTACCATTCTGCTCAGGGGAAAGCTTAACAGCTCTTCTAGATAGAAATAGTCTACCACTTGCTGTTTTATGGAGAAGATTTTTGGTTTTGCTTTTATTTTGAGGGATGGAGAGGCGACTCTGGAAGAAAAGTTCTTAAAATGCATTCCTGCTGTTAAGTGGTCTGGTAGACTGAGGCTTTCCCAGAGATGCACTGTAATTCCTACAATTCTTCCACCAGCCCCTCTCCCGCTCTCCTTTCATGGACGTAGATTGGTGTTGACATCTTAAAGCTCTCCCTGCTTAACCCTACTCCCTTCTGCCTGTGTCCTCCATGTCTGCTGCTTCAGGGACCCAGACTGAAACAATTTTCTTCACCATGAAGTCAGTTTTTAGTTTTTAATAAAAATAAATCTAAGGGCTGTGTCATGGCTCGAGGGGTAGAGTATCTGCCTAGCAGGTGTGAAGCCATGAGTTCAAACCCCAGTACCACCAAAAAAATATATGTGTAGTCTTAAAATGTCCATCAACCAAAATAAGAAATTTAAAAGAAAACTATTTACCTTGAGACATCATAAGTTTTCAAACGTTGGGCTTTGAGTTAGCAATTTCCCGTGGGAAAATCCACTCTTAAACCTTTCTGACGTACTCCATGATCTCAAACGTGCAACACAAACTCTTGAGAGCTGTCGTCAGATGTCTGCAGTTTCTCCTTTGATTGCCCACTGTTCAAGAATAATCCAGCAGCTCTTTATGGGACTGAATCAACATACTTTTTCTTTTTTGGCAATATTGAGATTTAGACTCAGGGCCTAAGCAACACCGTCCAAGGCAGTTTAGTTTTTAGGTTATTTCTCAGACAGGGTCTCACTCTTTTCGCCAGCCTCTGATCTGGGTCCTCCTTCTCCTGCCTCTCACACAGCTAGGATTACAGGCATGAATTACCATGCCCAGCTTGTTCTTCAAGCTAGGGTCTCACTAACCTTTTGCCTTGACTGGCCTAAAGTCACCATCCACCTAGCTCTATCTTCCAAGTAGTTGGGATTACTGGAGTGAGCCACTGCACCTGACCCTAAGATATTTTCAACTTATTGAAAAAGTCTTTTTAAAACTTAACTTACAAAAGAAATAGGTGTATATTAAGAAATATTGGGAAAATACAAAGAGGTAGAAGATTAATCACCATTACAGCTATGGTTCCACAGTTTGACACCTACTTTCCTCTAGTCCTGTGCTCATACCATGATACGAGTATGGATTTCATCTTCACAGATACGACATCATTGCTCTTTTAGTACAGAATTTTATAAGCATAAATTTCATGACTGAGTGATACTTTGCTGTGTGGGTGTAACACATTACTCTCTCTCTTTACTGCATCTCTAGGCTGTGTTCCTAATTTCGCTTTGCTATAAAAACATGGCATAGGTTTTTCCTCTCAGGTATTTGGAATGGGTGCATTGGGTTGTTTTTCTAAAGGTGAAATTATAGAAAATCACCAATTGAGGTGATTGGCGCACTTTGTTAAACTCACTCAACGACCCTCGCCTCGCTCCCCTGGTGGCACCTGCTGAGCTTTGTCTGGTCCACAAAAGAAAAATGCTCTTCTGCAGAGCAGGTCCTCACTTCAGTTTTTATTAGTATTTGATTATGAAATCAAATCTTAAGTAAAAATCTTTCATAATACTTCATAGCCTTTGTACCTTTTCTTTGTGTTTTTCTTGACAGCTTAAATGAAGACTTTATGTTTTATATTGTATCCTAAAGATAGCACTCTTCGTCATCCATATGTTCCAATTCACTGTGTGCTCTCAAATGTTGTTTACATTGCCTTATTATTATTATTATTATTATCCTTATATTATTACTATTTGGCAGTACTGGTGTTTGAACTCAGGGCCTCACACTTGGTATAGGCAAGCACTCTACCACTTGAGCCATGTCCCCAGCCCTTTTGCTTTAGCTCTTTTTCAGGTAAGGTCCTGTGCTTTTTGCCCAGGCTGGCCTTGGACCATGCTTTGTGTACCTGTGCCTCCCATGTGGCTGTGATTACAGATGTGTAACACCATGGCCAATTTGTTTGTTAGATAGGGTATTACCAACTTTTTGCCTGGGCTGGCCTCAAACCATGATCCACCCAATCTCTGGCCTCCCAAAGAGTTGGGATTATAGATGTTGGCCACTATAGTTGGCCCTTGTGTTGCTTTTTAACCTACACACATTTAGAGTTTATATATTCAGATAATCACTATTCCCTGTACAATGATGAA